ATCAGAAGCTTCTGATACTGATATCAGGTAGCCTGCAGTTTAAATGATGTCATGATAAGGGTTGTGCAGAGTAGTGAATGTCTAGGATATTTGAAATTGCAGAAATGAAATCAACATTGAATTGAAATTTGCAAAACTATGTCAGTGTATATTACATTGTATATGTTATCAGAAGGTTTGAAGTTTGGAAATTTTGGAGTATGGCGTGTGTATTTTTACTTAACAATTAAGTAAAAATTGACTCTAGTACTTCATGGGGTTTGTTGACATTTGTTGAGTACCACCTACTATGTGGTCCAGTGTTTCTCACATTGTCTAGTTTGTTCCCTAAAGTAATCTGGTAAAACTTACGCTAGTTTGCCTTTTAAAGACAGTAAAATTACAGTTTTTTATAATGATGGATTGATGAGCATAGTCCTGCAGTGTGTGTAACTGTAGTCTGATGTGAATACAGGGCTATTTTGGTCAGGTGGCCATACTGTTTTCACCTATACCACATGTCTTTCCATTTGTAGTAGAAAACTTTCAGTAGCTAAGAGATAAAATAGGGGAGCTTTTGTCATTCAGTACTATCTTGGGAAAATGGCTATATGGAAAAAACAACTGCATAAATAACCCAGTGGCTATTTGTGAGAAACCAAATTTATTGAGTCATTTTAATACTGTGGTGCCTTAGCCACTAGAAGAATGATCTGAAGAGAAAAAAGGAAAATAGTATTTTCGGTGCTTAAAATAATTAGAAACTCAAATTTGCAATTATTGGAGACAGTTGTCTTATACACTGTATTGGGTCTAGGTGTATTCGCACATGCCTAGAATCCTGATATTTAGGAAGTAGAAGCAAGAGTGAACTCAATGCCAGTCTGGGCTATGTAGTGAGTGAGACCCTGCCTTAAAAATGAACTGTGGAGCTAGAGAGACAGCCCCATGATCAAGAGCACTTGCTGAATAAAGTTTTATTCTACATGGCAGCTCACATCTGACTGTAACTCGAGTTCTAGGGGATCTGATGCCCTCTTCTGACCTCTTTCAGGTTCTGTGAGCAAGCTGCATAGACACATAACATGAAGGAAAAACACCCATAGGCATGAAAATAAAATAACTAAGTATGATGTGTGCCTTTAATCCTAGAACTGTTAAGGCAGAAGCAGGTAGATCTCTGTGAGTTCACAGCCAGCTAGTGCTAATACTGAGGCTATTTCAAAAGGGGTGGGGTCGGATGGGATGGGGGAATCTAAAACACTGAATGAATAAAACAAAACTTTATAGAACACATTTTAAGCTAGCCCTTAAAAACTGCAACTTGTGCTAGGCAATGGTGGCATATGCCTTTAACCCCAGCACTTGGGAGGCAGAGGCAGGCAGATCTCTCTATACCGGCCTGGTCTACAGAGTGAGTTCCAGGACAGCCAGAGCTGTAGAGAAAATCCCTGTCTCAAAACCACCACCAACCCTACCCCACCCCTGCCAAAAAAAAAAAAAAGTTGTGTCTTCTGTATAGTTATTTTCTGTCTTCCATATAGTCATTTTCTATGTCTTCTGCGTAGTCATTTTCTATGTCTTCTGCGTAGTCATTTTCTATGTCTTCTTGCTTTTCTAGCTAACTAGCGGAGCTGTGTGGGTTCAGTTTAATGATGGGTCACAGCTAGTGGTCCAAGCAGGAGTATCTTCCATCAGTTACACATCACCAGATGGTCAGACAACTAGGTAAGTTTTTACAGCGCTGGGTCGGATTCAGTGCTTACTCATTTTCCTTTCTCTATACTTTGAAATAAGTGGCTTGATACGCTTAGTGTTTTGGCAGTTTTTATTTACACTATTCATAATCAACTCAAGTGGTAGGATTTCTTTGAATTTCATTGAATAACCCTATTCAGTGTATATATAGATTATTTACTTAAAAGAACATGGAGGGGCCAGGTGTGGTAGTGCATACCTTTAATTCTAGCACCTAGGCGACAGAGCTTAAAACCAGCCACATCTACATAAAGACTTCCAGGCTAGCCAGATGCAACACAGTAAGACTCTTTTTCAAAAACCAAACACAAAGGACATGGAGGGCTGGAGAGATAGCTCAGTTGCTAAAGTACTTGCTTTGCAAGCAGGACTTTAATTCAGAGCCCCAGCCACCCATGAAAAAGGTAAGGCAGGGGCTGGAGAGATGGCTCAGAGGTTAAGAGCACTGGCTGCGCTTTTAGAGGTCCTGAGTTCAATTCCCAGCAACCATATGATGGCTCACAACCATCTGTACTGAGATGTGAGATCTGGCGTGCGGGCATACATCGAGGCAGAATGTTGTATACATAATAAATAAATAAATCTTAAAAAAAAAGAAAAGAAAAAGGTAAGGCAGTATGCACCCTGGGGACAAGCTGATTCTTGGCTCACAGGTCACCCAATCTAGTCAAATAGGTAAGCCTCAGTTTCTGTGAGAAACCTAGTCTCAAAGTGATTGAGATAGACATCTAACATTGACCTGAGGCTGGATGTGGTGGCAGTGCATAGACCATCAATCAGCAGGAGTGTCAGTAGGAGTTAGAGACCATCCTTGGCTACATGGCAACCAACCTGGGTTATATGAGACCCATTTCAAAGAAGCCTAAATTAACTAAATAAACTTGGTTGTTTTTTCCAAATAAAAGTTATATCACAGGCTGGAAAGGTGACTCAGCAATTAAGAACACTGCCTGTTCTTCCAGAGGTCCTGAGTTCAATTCCCAGCAACCTCTTCTGGCCTGCAGGCATATATGCAGGCAATCTTTTTTTTTTTTTTTTTTAAAGTTATATCCCAACTTTTGAAAGCGTTTTAAGACTTATTGTTTATGGTAGGTATTGAACCTTGGCCTTGTGAATGCTTTGCAAGCCCTGTAACTGAACTGTTCCACCAGTACTAACGATCATTTTTGAAGGCCAGCCACTAGTCCTCACAATATGTAAGTGCTGTCTCTGAATATTTAACTAATCACAGATCAAAAATATTTATTTAAAAAAGTACTATGCTTGTACTGAGTATATATACCTATGAAACAAAAGTGTTCTGTTTTTGAAAGAAACAAATTGCATACACTTCAGTTGATTTTTGGAATTCTAGTAAGTGTATTTTCTTACCTCTTGTCTTTAAATGAGAGAAATGTGCTTTTGAGTATTCTCTTAAGGTCTAAGGATTGAAGTTGTTTGTTTTTCTGCTTCATTTAGGTATGGAGAAAATGAAAAATTGCCAGAATACATCAAACAGAAATTACAGTGTCTTTCGTCCATCCTTCTTATGTTTTCTAGTCCAGCCCCTAGTGTTCACTAACTAAAGTCCTTTCAGATGTCTGTATTTAATAAATGACTTTGTTTGGCTTTCAAGTAAAGTGAGTTTTTTTTAGTTTACTATGACTTCAGAAAGCCTTTCTATTAAACAGAATTATAATCTGTATCATAAAAAAATATGCTAAGAAGACAAAATAGAATAAAATTTTCATTACCAAATACAGTGGTGATGAAATAAACTAGGACATCTGATTTTTCTCCGAGTACATAATCCCTCACTCAGACTTTGTGTGCTCATGTTTGTACTGCACTAAACTTTGTGTGCTGTGTTTGTTTTTGTTGTTTCTGTACTAGTAAGACAGTGAGAATCATGGACAAATCAGCCTGTAGTTTTGAAGATGTAAATAATGTATATATAAGCAGTATATAAACATGTATATTTTATATTTATTTTTGTAGCGCTTGTGTGTGATTAAATATTTCTGCAAATACATTTTATAAAATAAACACATTGGTAAGTTTACTTTTTATTTGGTTAAATACTTGTTTTAAAATAGGTTGATCATTCTTAAATTTTGTTTGCTGTTTAAGAACCCCCCCCCCCCATATTTATTTTTTGAGACTGGGCTTTTATTGGTTTAACCCACTGATTGTCTTTTCTATCTTCTCTTACTCCCACCTTCCATCTGCTGGACGTTCCTTCATAGCCCCGGGAGAGATGAGGTTACTGGGCAGACAAGACATGGGACCTGAAGGAGACTTGGGGTGATAGCGTGGCTGCTAGGCAGTCAGAGAAAACATCTGTCTGCGCAGAGGGAGGCTATTAACCTGCACAGGCCCCTCTGGAAAGTCAACAGAGAAGAACTTGGCTAGCAGCTCCTACTGTGCCCTTTATAGGCACCTTGTGTTAAGTTCTATTTCACCCACAGTGGTCAGAAGAGGTCAGATACCCTGGGTCTGAGTTACAGGCAGTTGTGAGCCACTATGTTGGTTCCAAGTCCACCATAAGAGTAAGCATACTAATCCTCTGGACCAGATTAAAATGTGAAGTCTTAATCCTATAAATTAGGTGTTGGGCAGCATTACTGAGGTGTATCATTTGCCTTATATTGAGATTTGATCTACTATGGTCATTTGTAAATGTATTCATAATTACTGTTCATATTTTCTTTGTAATTAGAAGCTTGGATTTAATGAGGAATCCATATTGAACTAATAGGACTTAGCAGTCGCATACTTCAGCCACTTTGGACTGGGTGTGAGTTCTGAGAAGCCTTCCAAAATACCTTACCTCTAGGATGTTTGTAAGTCCTGCCTTCTACCTAAAGTGCATTTCTTCCACCCTAACCCACTCCAGTCATTCTCTTACACCAGGTTGCAGCAAGTCCTTACTTTCCTAGAGGAATTTATTCAGGGTGGGCTCCTTCTGGTCTGTCCTTATATCTTTCATCACCATTGCACAGCCAACCATAAGCATCTGTACCAGCTAATTAGTGTCCAAGGTTCCCGGGGGAACGGAAGCCTAGCAGTTACTGCTCAGATTTCAACAAGTACATGGGAATAGGCATGTGTTTAGGGGTTCTTAATGTGTTTTGAAAGTTGACAGATGATACATTATCTTTACAGTCTTGCTTTATTTGAAATGAACACTCAAAATATAAGACAGTTATAAATAAATCTTCAGTAGTAAATGGTAGTCAGCATTTTCTTGTTAGTATTAAACAGATACAAATAGTTTATCATCATTAAATTAAAAATTACAAGTTTATTTTACTTTAATACAAGGAATGAGCTTGAAGAGCTTATTTTATAGAGAAGCATAATGGCTAGAGATGCCTTATGAAGTGACAGTCCATTCAAAATAAGGAAATGGTGCTTTGCTAGGTTTTCAGTACCTTCTTTACTGTACACTAGTAACGTTTTCATACTTCCAGTCTCTCTTTGTGCTGATCTCCCTCCTAGCCCTCTTCCTAAACCTGTCACTTCCCTCGCTTCTTTGGTGGCGAGGTCTATTAGTCTAATCTCCCAAGAAATAATGCCTCAGTAAAAAAGAAAGTGCAGTCGCTTTTGCAAGGTTATAATTACCTGAATTACAGTATTATAATTCTAGGGCTGGGAAACTTCTGTTATGATATTCTTGCTGAGAACATGGTATGCTGATATAAAAGCTTCTTCATTCTGTTAAATTTATTTTCCCAAATATTTCTACAAATCTGACTCAATAATGCGAGTAATTGAGCACAATTAAGTAACTGGTAGTGTAAGTTCTGGGCAATTTTCCTATTCTGAAAAGTACAGCAGTCAAGAGGTAGCCTCTGAAGACACTTAGATAAGAACTATGTCTATCCATTTGAATGTATCAGGGAAGCAGGCAGGATCTTATCTTCAACACTACAATTGCTGGGAGAAATTACTGTGTGTTACCCAGGAACTTGGAGAGAACTCTTGTTCTGGGTGTGGGGGAGGGAGGGTTACTACTTTTGTCTCCGCATAGCACATAAAGGTGGAGTTTAAGATCAGAAGTGACCCAAAAGACTAAAGTCCAGGGCCTGACAACAGAAACTGAGGAAGCAAAATGCTGCCGTCATTTAGTGCTGATGGCTTCAGCAGACTACAGACATTCACACTCAGATTTGAAACCATGGCCACAGGATGGGAAAACATTGCATGGTTTGCAGTTACTCCCGTACACATGTCAGTGTTCTATTCACACAGAGGTAGAAACTATGCAGTTTGATTAGTCACCTTTGGCCATTCTCCCTCAAATCAGCCTGAGCAGATGGGAGTGTCACAGCATTCAAAGTCCAGCTGTAGTCCTGCTGCAGACAGAAGCAAACAGCTGTTCCTCTCTCACTACTGAGAAAGGGCATAAGAGGTCAAAGTTTGTGCTAGAGTTTAGAGGACTTGGAAAATATAATTCTAAGAATCCATTCTCTGCTAATACCATATTAAAAACATACTTGTCTTACGTTTATGATATGAATTACTAGCACTTGGAAAGGCAGCCGTCTAAAGGCACGCAGGGCCCTTAGCTCTTAGTCCTCTTTACTCCTCAGCTGTTAGCATTATTCTTGCTCATGGGTAATTTAGAAATGAGATCCTAAATTAAAATGACAAAGGTGTAGTGTGCAAATTACACTGAGGGAGAGAGAATGGGTTCACCCTGGGCAGAAAAGAAACTAAAGCCTAGTCTGGTGGTGGGCAGGCTAAAAGAATTTAAGGCTCAGTTTTATTTCATTAGGAAGCTGAATAATAATTATTTTTGTTTTAAATTTTTTTAAAAAACTTTCCTTCTGCTCTGGCTGATTAAACCAGAACCTTCCTCCAGTTCCACTGCATCGTCCCATTGTTTTAGAGAGCTCCAGTTCACACTGGTGCAGCTTCACACCTACAACTCATCCATCCTCTGTTACGTTCATGACCTCCGATGAGATTATGACCCAGAATGTTTTTGCACATCTTACCCTTCATAGCTAAGTTACTCAACACATGGTCTGCTACTCAAGGCTGAGTTAGAGATGGTTGGCAGCAAGTATCCAGCCGAGACTGCTAGCTTATTCCTGGATCTGCCCATATCTGACAGAAAAGGCAACGAGTCTTCTGTAAACAGCTCCCATGAGTGAGATGGTGAGCACCACTATTCCACACACGAGGCTTAATGCCCATCGTGGGCCCAAGTAAGTGTACACATGGCTGATGAACACAGGCCCGAGAATCCGTGCTGCACTTCCAGAAGCAGATAACCAGCCCATGTACATACCCTGTAAGGGGGTAAGGCAGAGGACAACAGGTTCATTCAGGGTTAGTTATTTTAAAATAAAAACAGTAAGCTGGGCACTTTAATCCCAGCACTCAGGACGCAGAGGCAGGTGGATCTCTGAGTTCAAGGCAGCCTGGTCTACAAAGTGAGTTCTAGGACAGCCAGGGCTGTTACACAGAGAAACCCTATCTTGAAAAAACAAAACAAAACAAAACAAAAAAAAAAAAAAAAAAAAAAAACAAAAAACATGATCTGAGAGAGTTAGGACAGCTGGAAAAAAACCCATGTTTCAAAAATCCAAAAACAAAAAGAATAAAAACTGACCTGAGCTGGAAAGATGACTCAATGATTTGGTAGTGTTTGCCTTTTAAATTCAAATACCTGAGTTCAATCCCCAGAACTTAATTTAAAAGCTGGGCATCTGGGGCATGGTGGGGGTGGGGGGCTGAGTAAATATGATCAAAATGCAGTATGTGAAATTCTCAATAAAAATAATAAAGAAATGGGGCATGGTTACAGGTGCATGGAATCCCAGAATTGAGAAGTTAGAGACAAGCAGAACCCTGGGGTTCCCCAGGCAGCCAACCAGCCTAGCCTACCTATATATTGAGTTCTTGGCCAAGGAGTGCTGGTACTAAAGGCATGAATCACCATGGCTGACTGTTCATTTAGTCTCAGAGAGGGAGAGTGTGTCCCTTGCAGCTGGAGTCACAGGTCACACAGGCCTCCTGACCTGGGTGCTAGACCTAAACCTCAGTTCTCTGGGAGAGCAGTAAGCACTCATGACTGCTTAGCCATGTATATCCATCCCCTTAGTTTGCTTTTTAAAGATGATCTTATAGTATAGTCTAGATTTGCCTAAGAGTCACCCAGCAGCCTTGACTGGCCTCAAATTCAAGATCTTGTTCCTGCCTCAGAAATGCTGAAATGCGGAGATTATAGTCATGTGCCACCACAGCCATCTCAGATCAATTTTATTTTTTATTTTATTTTATTTTTGGTATTTAGAGACAGGGTATCTCTGTGTAGGGTATCCCTGGCTGTCCTGGAGCTAGCTCTGTAGACCAGACTGGCCTTAAACTCTCTGAGATGGCCTGCCTCTGCTACCCAAGTGCTGAGATTAAAGGCGTGCACTACTATCGCCCCACCAATTCTTTAAGATTAAGATAATTTGTGGCCATTTATATAACTGCCATTAAAAATGAAAGTTAGAAACATATAGAAAATAAACAATAATATGATTATGAGTAAGTGATGCTACACATATAAAATGAAATGGTGTCTCACTGAAAGTAACTGAAGAATCCATGACATACTCCTTAAACTGTATATACCCATTTACATAGTAACAGAGAAGGGACTAGAAATGGAGCCTGACTTTATTAAAATATTAGTAAGGGGCTGGAGAGATGGCTCAGAGGTTAAGAGCACTGGCTGCTCTAACAAAGGTCCTGAGTTCAATTCCTAGCAACCACATGGTGGCTCACAACCATCTGTAATGAGATCTGGTGCCGCCTTCTGACCTGGCATCCATGCAGACAGAATGCTGTATACATAATAAATAAATAAATCTTTAAAAAAAATAGTAATTATGACCTCTCTGAAACTACTATTCATATTGTATCTACATATTTTTGATTTTATATAATGAATACAGAAATTACTTGTTTTGTGTTGTTTGTGTGGGCCAGAGATCAAACCTAGTGTGTCAGCATTGCAGGATAAAAGCTCTACCACTGAGCTGTACTCTAGCCTACGAAATTTTTTGTGTGTGTTTGTATTATTTGGGGCTGAGTCTTACTATATAGCCTGGCTGTCCTGGACCTCACTGTGACAACCAGGCTGGGCATGAACCTGCAATGATCCTCCTGCCTCAGCTGCTTGGATGCTGAGATTACAGGTGTGTGTGACCACACCTAGCTCAGTCCTGACATTCTTATTTAAAAATTAATTTTGGACCAGGGCTTTAGCTCAGTGGCAGAGCACTAGCCTAGCATGTGCAAAGCCCAGGATCCAATCCTAGCACTACAAAACAAACAGTTAAAATACATAAAGGTAGGTCTCAGTATAGCTCAGCAAGGTCCTGGGTTTAATCTCCAGCACAACACAGACACGGAAATAGACATAGCTGCCAAAGCTGTTTAAGACTATTGTGTTTTCATCTCTGTAACAGCCGAAATCCAATCTGGCTGCCAATTTTGGTTTTCTACTATCTACTTTTAAGAATGAGTAGAAGAAATTTAATGTTCAGAGATTTTTTTCCATGAAAAGTATTCTGAGTTCATGATTACTGAATCCAAGACATCTGAGTTGTTCTGACTTAGCAAGTTCGTGTTTTATCAGATAAATCTTACCACACATTACAAAACTTCTGAGTGATGGAATCAGAGGTAGAACCTAAGCTCAAAACTGCATGGTATACAAGTGAGCTCCAGCTCCAGAGGCAAAAAATCCATCTCTCCTGCCTTAGCTTTTTGTTTTGTTTTCTTTTTTCATTTGAAATACGAAATCAGATTTTAAAGTCTGCTAAGCCAGCTTGTGTAGGAACAGAACTATAGAAAGGAGATGTGGGAGCTACAGTTTACATGGCTGCAGGGCTGTTACCTGGGGTTTGGGTCCTAGAATTTTTGAATACAGTGTGTAGGACATGACATTGCAGGCTGGATAGCCTACTCCAACTAGGACAGCAGCTGTCAGGAGCTGGGCCAGATGGATCACCGGGGTGTACAGGCACCAAGCTTGTTCAATTGGGCATCCAGTTGGCTGTTGACTGTGATCTTCTCTCAGAGAGCTCCAAAGGTCAATGATAATTTCCCCAAATGTAGTATTAGGGATTGAGCTGTTGTGTAGATCTGAAAAATAAAGTTAAGATTACGTATCATCCACTACTACTAAAGAATGGCAGGGGCTGATGCTACAGAGTTAAAATCACCATACCTTCCCACTGTACTTTGGGAAACTGATTTCCCCAGGGTAACAAGATAAAGAAGCCAACCCATACAACCACGAGTCCTCCCAGGAGAATAGCACGCTCATCAATCCTGTTGAACAGAAACTCTGATTGAAACAAATGCAATATGAATTCACAGTTCCATTACGATAACTAAAAAAATTTAAGTAAATTTTTTTTAATATTTATTTATTATGTATACAATATTCTGTCTGTGTGTATGTCTGCAGGCCAGAAGAAGGCACCAGACCTCATTACAGATGGTTGTGAGCCACCATGTGGTTGCCGGGAATTGAACTCAAGACCTTTAGAAGAGCAGGCAATGCTCTTAACTACTGAGCCACCTCTCCAGCCCTTAAGTAAAATTGTTATACAATTCATTATATTTATCAATTAATGCAATGCTAAATAGAACCCCCCACTGAAAGCACCTAGTACCATGCATGGCAGTGTACACCTGTAGCCCCAGCACCTAGGTTCAGGGCAGGAACTATAGGAAAGGAGTTCAAGGCTAGCCTGGGCTACATAGAGAGCCCCTGTCTTGAGAAAAAAAAAGGCTTCTCTAATAAATTGCTGATTTCAGATTAGGGGGCTGGACTCTAGATGATGAATGCATTTGTCTTTTCCTACAGAAAGTAGAGCTTGTCAGTAACTATTATGGCAGAGACTCAGAACCAGTGTGAAGAATAATCATGTCTGTACATGCCTCTGCTCATTTTCAACCAACATTTTAAGAATATTAAACCATTAAAACCATTCATCAGCTAATAACCTGTGCTAACCCTCTATGGCAGGCTGATTATATATATATGCAGGCCTGACTCCGAAACACACACACACAAAATCTATGTAAGTTCAATTTGTTCCTTGAGACAATGTCTCAATATGTAGCAGGCAGGCACTCATGGTCCTCTTGTCTCAGCCATCAGTGTAGAGGCTTTAATAACCAGAATTTTCCAAACTTAATCATTCAATCTCCGAAGACAATGTTTTATGCCAGTCTGGGGGTGGCACACGCCTTTAACCCCAGCACTAGGGAGGCAGAGGCAGGCGGATCTCTGTGAGTTCGAGGCCAACCTGGTCTACAGAGCAAGTTCCAGGAAAGCTAGGGCTATGAGACAGAGAAACCCTGTCTTAAAATAACAGTATTTTATGAATTACATTTTTAGTAACATATACATTAAAACACAATATATAACAACAGTTAGTGTACAGTTATTTGGTAAGGCATTTTACTTTACCAAAGTGATGCCATAAAATATAAGAATACCATGCATTCTCGGTAAAGTTTTTATCTTTTTGCAAATTTTCAAGAACTATAATACAGCCAGGTATGGTGGTGCATGCCTTTATTCCCTGCACTCAGGAGGGTGACGGTCTACGTAGTGAGTTCCAGGCTAGCCAAGGCTACACAGTACAAAGTAAGACTCTCCCTTAACAACAACAAAAGCTGTAACACATGAGAAAATGTGCTGGCACATTCATTTATATTAGCACTGTTTCGTGTTTCTTTTTCAAACAAAGATTTGAAATAAAACTAAAAGCATATAACTTACTTTTTGGAAAGTAGTTTAACCCCCATGAAAACAGCAACTGCCTCAACTCCGAGAGCAGCGAGAATTATTCCATCATAGAGCACAGCCTGCTCTTGGGTCCAGGCATACATGTCCATTGTTAATGGGGTGAGGATTCTAAGAAGAGAAAGTCAGGCTTACTCACTTAAATGACAGTTGTTGCTAAGAATTAAGTATAAACATTTATAATAATACCACCAAGAATATACAGCGCTTTTCATTTCAGTTTACATAAGGAGCACAGTCACAGTGCAGGAGGTTTGCAAAGAGGAGACACCGTGAGTTACAGTCCCACCCTCCCAGCAACTATTCATGGTTACACTGTGGTTGAAACTGATCCCTTCTCTTGGTGGAACTGTGAGCTTTAGGGTGAGACTTTATGACTAGCCTCCCTTTGGGGAGTCACATCTACAAAAAGGCCACTATAAAGAGCCTCTACAAAAGTAAACTTTTATGTTGACATTTTCAAAATCAGAAATTTATTTCAGTTTTGCGGGAAGTGCACTTTTTAGACGCTTTGCCCTCACTATTGAATGTTCCAGCAATGTCACACTGTCGTGTTATTAGTGCTGACTTATCCGAGCCTAGTGGATTCTTCCTTCATCAGCACTTTGTGTGTTTCTTCCCTCCCTATCAATACCTCTGCCTTTATATGCCTGTCTTCTTCCTTGTCAATTCTATCCCTACAGTCTACCATCTTCTGTTGGCTGACAACAAAATGCTGCATTAAAAATAAACGTAGTGTCTGAGACACTGAAATCAGATGAGCTGATACAGAAAACAGATGCATGCTCTCTCTAAGGGCTAAATGGTTAACATGTGCCCTGGCACCTCCTCCGGGTACGGGCCCAAGGGCTGAAGGCCAGAGTTCCAGCAGACACTTGCACAGCACTGTCACTCAGCTCAGCTACAGGGAGCCAAAAGTGAACAGGTGAGTGGGCAGCCAACTGCCACAGCAAGTTAGGCAAGTCTGATATACCACAACGAGAACCCTGAAACTTCACACTCAATGAAATGAGGCATGCATAAAGCAAAATGCTGCACAATGCAACTTATGAGACAGGCCATCAGACTGGTGAAGACACAGGGAGGAGCTGAGAGAGGCTGTGCAGCCTGTTTGGGATGATGTTGAGGGTGTTCTCCTGATTCACAAGGTTGCGACAATACTTAATGCCATTGTATCCAACTTTTCCAAACAGTTAAAGGGTCTGGGGAGATGGCTTGTGATTAATAGCACTTGCTGCTCTTGTGGAGAACCCAGGTTTGGTTCTCATGACTACATGATGGTTCATAACCATCTGTGATTCCAGTTTCAGGGACCCAATTCTCTCTTCTGACCTCTACTGGCACCAGGCACACACATGGTGCACATATATTACATGCAGGCAAAACACTCATAACACATTTTTTTAAATATTTATTTATTTATTATGAATACAATATTCTTTTTGCATATATGCCTGCTAGAAGAGGACACCAGACCTCATTACAGATGGTTGTGAGCCACCATGTGGTTGCTGGGAATCAAACTCGGGTCCTTTGGAAGAGCACGCAATGCTCTTAACCACTGAGCCATCTCTCCAGCCCCCTCATAACACATTTTAAAAAAATAAATCTAAAACTTAAAAAAAAAAATTGAAATTCTGGGCCCAGCTGTACAGATCTGTAGGCCAATTGCAGGAGGCGGAGACCGAAGCATCATTAAGCCCTGCCTGAGCTACCGGGTCAGTTTAAACTTGTCTCAAAATAAAAAGTACGCAGATTGAGAATGCGCCTCAGTAGCAGAGCACTTGACCAGCATGCTTGGGGTCCTAACTTTAACCCCCAATATTAGAGGGGAAAGGTTAATGTGGTGAATTTTATGTAATGCGTATTTTGCATTAAAAAATGTTTCCTAAAATGAGTTATGACTTTCATGTGGGTGAGTAACTCTGAAAGTATACACACCAAGCACATCTACTGACACGGAAATGTTACAGTTATATGGAAATAAGCCAAGGGTTGACACTACAGCTATGGGAGTTTTCACACATTCTCCCCTCCCCACGTGAAAAATGTGAATGGCTTTTTACCGGGTGTGTGTGTGTGTGTGTATGTGTGTGTATGTGTGTGTGTGTGTGTATAATGCTGCATGTGCATATTATTTTCTCTTTTAAAAGAGTCATTTGATTTTTAAAGAGGATGAATGAAACCTACACAGTTGTGAATTTTATAATTATCGATCAAGGATTAAATAGAGCTAATATCACCATAATTAACAACACATGTTAATTATGTCATGATATAACATCTACATGCATTTATATTCAAATTGGTCATGTTGACACATCCATTTAATCCCAGCACTTGGAAGGCAAAGACAGTCAGATCTTAAGGCCAGCCTGGTCCTTCATAGAGTGTTCCAGGACAGCCAGGTTACACAGATCCTGTCCCAAAAATGAAATGAAAAAAAAAAATCCAAAAATTTTAAGAAAAAAAATGTGCCTCACATAAGTTTTAAAAACAAAATCTATATACAAAATTAACACTACATTAAGAAACATGGATTAGTAAGTAAATGGGTTTAAATAAAGACAATAAAACTTACGTTTCAAAAAGGGCAAAGATAAACAAAACCACAAAAAACAGAATATTGGTAGCCACAACAGCAACTTGATCAATACATCCTCCGGGAATCTGAACTTCATCTGTATTTTCTTCTATAAATAGAAAAGGAATATTACCTATATGTGTAATTTTCATATGATGATAAAGTAATATAAAGGGTTAGCTGGCTGTGGTGGCTCACATCTGTAATCCCAGCATTTGGGAGACTGAGGCTGGATGATCACAGCAAGTCTGAGGCCAGCCTGTGCCAGGGGGCTTTGAGGGAGAGAGAGGGAAGGAAACAAAAAGGGCTCCCTGTTCCAGGGTTACCAGAAGCATGGCAAGGAGCAAGACGGTTTTATGACACTGACTCTTTGAAGAACACAAGTGATTTTTAGCAATGGTTTTTACCCTTGCCAATAATAAACACCATATAATTGACAGGTATGGGTCCCTTTATTAATGTAGAGTCCTTTCACCTTTAAAGATATTCCCCAGTCACCTACCATATTGTACTTAGAGGCAAAAGCCATATAAACACAAAGTGAACAGAGTCAGAACTTAAATGGAGCCACACAAGTTAACAGTACCTTCTCGAAAATTCACGCTCTTACATTGCCGTCCTGAGTCATCCACACGGTGCTCTCTTAAAAAGAAAAGCGTAATATTAATAAAACCTTAATTCAGAAGCATGTTTTTTAAAGATTTATTTATTTTATGTTTGAGTGCTGTACCTGCATGAATGACTTCAAGCCAGAAGAGGGCACCAGATCGCATTATGGATGGTTATGAGCCACCACGTGGTTTCTGGGAATTGAACTCAAGACCTCTGGAGGAGTAGCTAGTGCTCTTAACCTCTAACTGCTGAGTCATCTTTCCAGCGCCAGAATCAGTTTTCTTATTACTGGTACCCTATCTTTTCCACAGTCCAACACAATTTCTTTTATTGACTTCTGACAAATAAGAGTTATTAATTTCTAATATAACCAATATATGTAAAAAAGTCTTTTTCTTTTGTCAGTTCTGGGCATGAAGCGTAGGGCCTCACCCATGCTAGACAAGCGTGCCCCAAAGCCTTGAGCTGGGCCTCCAGGGTGAGCACTGGTGAGAAAAGACCCAGCACGGTCGTCCAGGCTGCTCTCAAACACCTGGGCTGAGTGATCCCCACACCTCACTCTCCTGATATCATAGAAAACTTTCAAAATTTACCTAGAAGCATACATGATTTATCTTAGTACATATTTGAGGTTTTCAATGTTTTAAAAATTGTAAGTGGCTTTGAGCCGGGCGGTGGTGGCGCACGCCTTTAATCCCAGCACTCGGGAGGCAGAGGCAGGCGGATCTCTGTGAGTTCGAGACCAGCCTGGTCTACAGAGCTAGTTCCAGGACAGGCTCCAAAGCCACAGAGAAACCCTGTCTCAAAAAACCAAAAAAAAAAAAAAAAAAAAATTGTAAGTGGCTTTGGAAAAATTAATGAAGTTCTCTAAAATATACAACATAATAATATTAGGTTTGGTAGCATACACCTACCTATATTCCCAAAACTTCAGAAACTAAGGCAAGAGAATCCTGAATTCTCAGGTAGCCTTGGCTATACAGTAAGACTTTTTCTAAAGCTAAAGTTTAAAAAAAGGAAGAAAGAAAGAAAGAAAAAGTAATGATACTAGCTTTAGAAAATGAAATAATCATTTTTTATTTTTTATTTTCTTTTGGATTTTTGAGACAGGGTCTCTCTGTGTGTATCCTTGGCTGTACTGGAACTCACTCTGTAGACCAGGTTGACCTCAAACTCACAGAGATCCGCCTGCCTCTGCCTCCTGAGTGCTGAAATTAAAAGCATGTGCCATGACCATCAGGCGATATACCATTTCTGTACTAAGAATCTTATAGTTAGTAAATGAGGTATAGATCTTTGTAATCTGTGTTCATTCCTCATCCGTCCTATTACTGCAGTTACCAGTATAACATGCTTTAGCTGATCAAAAACTATAATCCAATATAAAGACAGCAAAACACAAGGCCTCACAACTCAGGTCTATAATCTCAGTCCTGGAGGCTGAGACAGGAGAACTACAAATTGAAGGTCTGCCTGGTACTCATAGCACCTAGACAACTTAAGAGGACCCTCTATCAAAATAAAAAGTAAAAATTGAAAAGGGCTGGAGAGGGCCTTCAGTAGCTAAGAGCACTTGCTGCTCTTGCTGATGACCCAGGTTTCGTTCCTGGCATCCAACTGTGTGTAATTACAGTTCCAGGGGACCCAATTCTCCATTCTGGTTCCTGAGCATAATGCATGCATGTGGTCCATATATATACATATAGGCAAAACACGTTAAAAACCTAAAAATAAATCTTTATAAAGGAGGCTAGGGGCCTGGAAGATACATAGTAAAGGGCTTGCTAAGGGTCAATGCCCAGTGCTACAAATACAAAAAGACTTCATAGTGACAATTATCCTTCAGTAGTAAGAAAGCTTGTTAACTTTTAGAATTTACAAAGATATCTTACTGCTTCTACGTAGTTACCTTAATATAAAGAGAATCAGAATAATGTTTAGAATTCCCAGGAAGGCGCCAAGTAAAACCGGTGCTGTGTACATGTTGATCTGCAGCTTAATGGGGTTCCACGTTACACCATTTTCTCCAATGAGTGCAAAGCAAGTCTGAAAAACTAACAAAGTATTATGTGTACAAGTAAGTATTGATATTGATATGAGAAACATAAGCTAAAAACTGTAAAAATGTTTACTACAGAACTGTTAGGGTCTATATGAAGTCACCATATGTACTAAGGGTTCTCAACCGGAGTGAGAAAATTGGCTCTTGCTTGGTAAAGACAATTTATTCTTTTCTTGTATACTCCATAGATGTGTGTGTGTGTGTATTCAAACATATTAGTATATTGATGGATATGTGGTATTAAATTTTCATGCAGGCTAGAATATTCAGGACAAACATCTAAGAAAGCTCTTTTAGGAGAGTATTAAAATGATGAGATATAGATATGTACATTCACAAAGACTATATCATTTGATCAATCAACTCAGCATCATTTCCTCTTGATCCTTTTTATTAGCATATACTAATTTTACATAATAATGGGACTTACTATAACATTTTCATAGATCTATAGTGTGTTCTTACCATATGTACCACCCATTTAGTGTCCTCTTTTGACAGGGGAGGAAGAGTGCTTGGGACTGGGGCCTTCAGCCTGCTAAGTACCCATCCTACCACTGAGCTACACTCTAAACCCCAGTATCTACTTTCTTATAAAACAAAAAATGAAAGATAACTACTCTATAGAAGTTAATCTACACAATTTATTCAATGAATCAATTATAAACTTTAATAATTACATTGATGGGGGACAGGAGGGCTTGCACCTGCCAGGGTGCACCTGTGAAGACCAGAGAACAACTTTTAATGTCTCCTTAAACAAAGTGGTCTCCAGGGATCAAACTCAGTCCACCACACTTGGCAATCAGCACAAAGACCCACTGAGTAATCGTGTTAGATAAATTAGTTAGAAATTTAACCAACTTTATTACAAGAAAGAAAACATAACAGTTTCAAGTAAAGTATTTTGAGTATTTCTCTGTGTGTGGTACTTTACTATTAAGTCTGCAGTAAAAATTGGATGGGACAGTTCAAATCCTAGTTGAGAGCATTTTCCATGGGCTCTGTAGTAACTGAAACCTAACTTCAACTGAGAACAAAAACAGATGCTGCCCTTACAACAGTACTGGGTACAAAGCACCCAGAAAAATGTCAGCTCTGAGCTCCGGCTCCCCACCTTCTCTGGTGGCTCTGGACAGACTCTCTATACTGTGGGATCCTCGTCTGTAATGATCAAGGCAAGCAGCATTCAACTAAGAGCTCTGGTGTCAAGGAAAATCAGTCTAGCAATACTAGTGCATTAAAAACATTAATGTCCTCCCGGATAAGGCTATCATTCAGTTGTAGAGTGCTGCCTAGCATGCACGAAGCCTTGAGTTCAGTCTTCAGTATCACACAAACACACACACACACACACACACACACACACACACAGTCTGAGGGAATTACTGTTTCATTTTTATGCTTTTCAGTTACCACATGAAATGTGTTCCATTATGTTTTTATGCATAAACATCACTGTACTTTGCTCATGTTAACCCCCTTACTTCCCTGGCTCCTTCCCTCCATCCCTTCTAAAGTTTTTCTCCTTTTCCCCTTGGCCACAAAGCTTCATATATGGATTACATTTAAATTTGAACCTCAAAGGTTTTACCGACTCAGATTTAAGCAGTTAAGTAAAACCTGCCTACCTGGACCCAAAATAAAGCCCAACGCTTGGCACGTGCTCGTATTGGCCATGGCACTTGTTCTTTCCTGAAGGGAAGTGGCACCAGCAATGTACGATCGGACAACAGCCACATTTCCTAGAGAGACCGTGACAAGGAAAAGAATCATCCATCAGCCATAATACTCACCTGCCTGGCTTGACACAGAGCAAGTAATACTGATAAATACCATGGTCACTTCTTCCTCTGTGCCATCCTACAAAGCGTGTAAGGTTTTCATGGAATAAACACGTAACTAAAGGAACTAAGTATTTTCACTGATGAAAAAACTGTATCACTGTACAAAAACTCGACTAGGCTGAGTGGTGCATGCCTGTAATCCCAACAACTGGGAGACAGAGGCCAGGCTAGTCCACATAGTGAGTTCTAAGCCAGCCTAAGGTAAATAGTGAGACTCTGTCTCAAAACCACCCAACACAACAAAACAGGAATCAAAATAAAACAAGCCCACCCTTATGAGCAAAAACACAGTCTTAGATAATTTTAAAATGACATTCTAATACCAAGGTTTTCTCATCAAAAACCAGACAGCATGCATAAACAGCAGAGTGTTATGCTATAAGGACTATGTTACAGACAGCATGCAGACACATGGAATAATGGAAGACAGAAACAGAAAGAGTCCACTAAGGATGTAACTAAGGGATTTTGGGCTGGAAAGGGCACAGTGGTTAAGCATTCACACTGCTCTTGTAGCAGCCCGGGGCTCAGTTCCTAACGCCCACAGCAGACGGTTCACGAGCACCTATAGCCTCAGCCCCAGGGGTTTAATGCTGTCATCTGGCCTCTGAGAACACTGCTCTCAATGCATATCTCCACAGACGCACATACATATACACAATACAAATAAAAGGTTTTCTTAATTATTAAGCACTTATTTTATAGTAGAGACACTACTAGAAACCACAAAATATTTTAAAAATATCATTTACTGCTTTTAATGCAAACATTACTATAGTTGATGAGGAAAGATGGAACCAGTGGAACAGTGCGAGCAAAGACCAGAAACAGGCAGAAAAGGATCCATTCAGGGGCAAGAAGCTCGAGAAAACTGCACACTGGATAAATGTGTGTCTTGAAGGTGAAGACTGGTGGAAATCAAAGAAAGGACCTTTAGGTAACAGGAGGATCATGAGCAAAGGCAAACAACAGAAAGACATCTGCCTCTTCCTAAGATGTGTATGGGATGTGAGACACGGGAGACACGGCTCTGAGCAGCAGGAAGAATAGGACACACATACACATGCAATTACCTGCTCCAAATCCCACCAATCCACGAGCAATCAACATGTAGTATTTGTTATGAGCAGCTGGCACGTGGACATATGCATATAGGCAGTTGGCTGCCACCGAAATAAAGATGGAGACGATAAGAGGTTCTTTTCTTGGCCTATAATTAGACCATAAACCAAATAGAGGTGAAGCTACCATTTGGCCAAGACTAAATGAAGCAATAACCCAGCCCAAAAAACTTGCATCGGCTGTCTGATCAATCTGCAGAGAAAAGTAAATGCTTTAAGAATTCTTACATGACAACAGTCTTCAGCTTCTGACAGCTACAAACATTCCAAGGCAGACTTGTGTGAATGTAAGTCTTTAGACTACTGGGTAACTAAGTACCTGAGAACGTGACTTCTAGATCAGTTAGGAAACTATATTTAGCTTTGTAACAAATATGCAGGCTATATTCCAGAGTAGCTGAACCTTTGGGGGTTAGTATTTCTGTGAAGAACTCCTGGAACATGTTAATAACCGTGGGGGAGTTCATCGCTGTACATTCAATATCATAGCACTGTATGGTAAGTACTAAGGACACGGAGATGAAGTGGAGTCATCCCTTGGTGTCCTCACAACTGACTCGGGACTCCCAAGAACACCAGAATGAGTGCACACACAAGCACTTCATATAGAACATTTGCATAGAAACTACAAATACCTTCTACAGGTGTAAGTCATCTCTGATCACGTATAATACCTACTACAATGTATATTCTGTAAAGATAAATGCCACACAGCACAGTTGAGGGAGTAATAACAAAAAAAAAATAGCACAGGTGATTTAAAAAATATTTCAAACCACAGTTACTTGAATTTTTGGATTCAAAACCCAAAGAGAAGGACCAACTGTATACAGAAAACCTGTCCCAGACTGGGTGATGACAATGAGAGCTCCCAGAGGACATGAGAGGAGCAGGGGCTTGCTTGGTGAATACCAGGAGGAGGAGGAAGGGAAGGACAGAGGAAGGAAAGCAGCACGGGAGGCAGGGAAAGGGGCTGGAGAGGAGCTAGGAAAGGTGACTGTGCGGCCCTGCAGAGCCAGGGTCACTGAAGAAGGCATGTCTAACTCACTGCTGCCTACCTATCTGCTACAGGCCAAAGCCTGACACAGATGGATCTCTGGAAAAGCAGTAAGCAAGGAGAGAGCTGAGGAGAGACAGAGAGTTCAAGACTAAGTAATCAGAGTTAAGACACAACCTAGTAGAAACGAGAGGACAGTGTTAGCCGTGACATTCACACACGAACAACAGAAACTGGACTGAACAGAGACTGCTTTCTGGTCAGTGTTCTAGGATAGAGCAGATTCACAACTACATAAAAAGCACTGTCGTAGGCATCATAGGTGATCTAGAGATGATTACAGCATGCAGGAGAATGTATGCATTTTAGGTGCAAATACATCACTTTCTTTAATGGACTTGCACATCCAAACATTGTGCTATACTCTGAGAGGACCTGAAAACCAATCTCAGAGGAATAGTAAGAGACAGCCTTATTTCCTATCCTTCTCATAAAGTTCTCCTGAATGCCCAAATGAACCCCACAGGAAAATCATGAAGTCAGTCCTCGGAAATATCATTGTACATTTTGAGAAATCACTTTGTCTACATGAGCAGCTTTCAGAAGGGAAGTACTGACGATGTGAGCTTGGCTGGGTAAGAAGGTGAGCACACCTTCACTCTGCCTGCCTCTCTCCTGGCATGAGTCTGTTCTTGGCATAGCACCCTTTCTGCTGTAACTGTTTTCGTTTGGACAATAAGCATATGACCAAATTGCACCTCCTTTGAGGAACAATTATTTTAAGTTATTCTGGGACAGATCAAACTACAGAACATTAAGGACACTCTCTAGCCAATGCTTAACAACACTAGAGTTGTCTCTACTATTTCTTAAGAGAACACATTTAAATGTACAAACCTTTTGAAGATATGGCCAGATTGACATTATCACAATAGAAAAACCTGCAAAGAGGCAAAAATGTTTATTTGTATTATAATAATTTAATCACTATTACAAGTATAGCTTTTGAAAATATAGCACAGATTTTAAAATATTCTGAGCCTGAAATGTTACACACTCAAAGGCTTAATTTGTCAAGCAGTGAAATCTTAATTCTCAGAAGGATAATAAGCTCTAATGTAAACTAGAAACACAAGGTAATCATAGTCCCAACTCGATAGAAGAGCAAAGGATCTGCCTGTTGTCTCTCGCATCTCTTGCCTTAAGTGGAAACTAATGAATGCTTTCACACCTTCCCGGCAGACATAGGTGGAGGAAAGGCCACGCTGTCAGGGGAAGTGCTAGTCTCTGCGCTGTCTAAAAGGGCGATCCCCTGCAGGAAAGATGAGGAAGGGGAGCACCATCTCAGGGGAGGTAATATCAATTGAGATACTTGAAGATGGCCACAGTATAAAAGCAAATTCCTGGATTCTGATAGGTTTCCCTACTTGAGAACTACGAGAGAAAACTCCTGCACTTTTGATAAATGTTATCTTTTTTCACTTATCTGTAGCGATGGGGATCAAACCCAGGGCCTCGTGCACTTGAGATAAGTATTACTCTACCAGCCAGTCACAACCCAGCCCTATTTGTTCAATCTATATGTTAGGCAAATCCAGGCAGAATGTCTATTTTTAAATGTTTAGCTTTACTGCTGGATGTAGGGGCCCATGTCTGTAATCTCAGCACTCCAGAGGCTGAGGCAGGGGCATCAATTTTCAAACCAACTTCAAACATTGATTTACATAAGAAAAATGTACTGAGCTATGATTCGTGTACCAAATGACCCACCCCTTTAATATATACAATTCATGTATGAGGGTAGGAGAGAGCAACAGGAGGACTACTGTACTCAAGATGCAGTGGGGCTGGGAAGACGGGCACGCCTTTACTCCTAGTCCTTGGGAGACAGGCAGGCAGATCTCTGCGGCCAGCCTAGTCTACAGAGAAAGTTTCAGGACAGCCATGGGCTACACAGAAAAATCCTTTCTTAAAAACCAAAACAAGCCGGGCGGTGGTGGCGCACGCCTTTAATCCCAGCACTTGGGAGGCAGAGGCAGGAGGATCTCTGTGAGTTCGAGACCAGCCTGGTCTACAGAGCTAGTTCCAGGACAGGCTCCAAAGCTACAGAGAAACCCTGTCTCGAAAAACCAAAANNNAACAAAGCAAAAAAAAAAAACAAAAAAAAAAAAAAAAAAAAAAAAAAATGAATAGATAAGTAAATCATCTTAAACTAGCACGAAGCAGTTTACTCTGAACCGTAGAAGTGGGCTTAACTTCCAGCACTTACCCACACTGCTGAGGAACATAGTGAGGTAGAGAATCCTAATAGATCTCCATCTGCTCTTGTAAACCTCTTGGGTTTCTACCATGTCCCGTTCTCTAGGTGGAAAGAAGAAGAGGGTTTACAGGTTGAGTGTTTGTAATCTCAAAACTCCAAATCCAAAATGTGAGAGTAACTGAGTGTGGGATTCTACCATCGACCTCAGCCAGTGAATTACTGCAGAAACGCACATGCAATCATATTGACACTCTGTACCATCTCCTTCAAAGATCCAAGAACTGGAAAGTCCCAAGCATTGCAGATAATGAACAAGGGTGGACTTCCTGGTGATTAGGGGCAGGTATTTATGCATTAATAATTTTACTCTGTCTTCTCTAAAGGTAAGAGTTATATAACTGACATAATTTATTAATATTGACACCTCTGAATTTTAAATTTCACTGGATGGAAAACACAAGACACCTTTAAGAAGGAAAACACTGAGCTGGGCGGTGGTGGCACACACCTTTAATCCCAGTACTTGGCAGGCAGAGGCAGGTGAGTTCGAGGCCAGCCTGGTCTACAGCGGTAAAACATTGTTCAAAGACTTGTGTTTACATGGTGCCCATGTGGAGGCCTGATAGCAGACATCCTAATAGTCTGGCTATCCAGGTTGCTCAGGAATCCATTTCTGACTTCTGATGCGGGAAGTGGGCCATCATACCCACCTGACACGCACATGAGTGTCTGGGGATCCAAACTCTAGTCCTCAGCAAGCATTTGAACCTCTGGACCATTTCCCCAGCTGTACTTCTCTATTGCTGAATGCAAAAGGATTGTTTTAAAAAACATGTATTTATTGTGTATACAGTATTCTTTCTGCAAGCATGCCTTCAGGCAGGAAGAGGGCACCAGATCTCATTACAAATGGTTGTGAGCCACATCTGGTTGCTGGGAATAGAACTCAGGACCTTTAGAAGAGCAGGCAGTGTTCTTAACCACTGAGCCATCTCTCCAGACTCTTATTTTTTTTTTTTTTATCAACAGGGTTTCTTTGTTGATTTGGAGCCTGACCTGGAACGTACTTGGTAGATCAAGTTGGCCTCGAACTCACAGAGATCCACCTGGCTCTGCTTCCAGAGTGCTGGTATTAAAGACATGCGCTGCCACCACCTGGCGCAATAGAATTCTGTGTATCTAATAGGATGATTGCATAAATTTTCTTAAGGAAAGTTACATAAATTAGTTACAAGAAATACATCTCCCACAAGTGGAATATATTAAAAATTAATTACTGTCACAAATGGTAAGATGGGAAAAGGTTCCTGCTGATGACCTGAATTCCCTCCCTAGAACCCACATGGTGGAGAGAACTGACTTCCCAAATTGCTGACGGACCTCTACAGGTATATCGTGGCACACGTGTCTGCACACACACATATGAATGAGTAAGTACAGTAAAGATAAGGTGTCTCCAATAATTACTCTTATGTTTCTGACATGTCCTAGTTGATGGCAGCATATGACCTTTCCTGACAGTCCCATGGGGAGCTTCCTGGAGCACTGACCTTTGCTATCAGGACTAAGATTAAATGTATCAATTGACATCCTACCTCTGTTAGGTGATACCTGAGTGTCTGTGCTCATTCAGTGATCACAAAGGTTCCAAAGTTGGCAAACTTACCTTGTGTGAGCACTACTCTTTCCAAAAATCAAGACATCTTAACAGACAGAATGCCTACTTATTCTCCAAGAGGATTTCTTTTGGAGAAAGGGCTTGGTTGATTTGTTGCTGTTGCTGCTGTGGACCCAGAGTCTAGATACTCCTGTTCAGTAAAGTTCTGTACCAAAGTTACTGGTCCAAAGCATTTTATAAAATAGACCTTGGTGCTGTCAAATTTATCACCAGTGAAGAGCTTTCTTTTTTCAAATGTGCTGTGTTTAGAAATGAGAACAGGAAGAAGAGAAACATGGTTTAGATCTACTATTTGCCAAGGATATTCATTACTGATATACATGTATTTCTTTTTTTTACATTTACTCATTTTCTTATTTATTGTGTTATATGTATGGGTTTGAGTGCTGTGACATGCATGTGGAGCTCAGAGAGGATAAACTGGGAGTCGTTCTCTCTATCAAAGTTAAGGTCATCAGGCTCAGAAGCAAGCTCCCATACCCCCTGAGCCATCTCTCCAGGCCCCACTACTCAAACATTAAAGTGCTGAAAAACTGCATACATAATATTCTGACCTACCCAGAGACCTTTAAATTGTGATGTGAAACACCTGAAATATAGCAGAACTCAAGATGCCTATATTAAAAAATCAACATATCATCTGGGCGGTGGTGGCACACGCCTTTAACCCCAGCAATCAGGAGGCAGAGGCAGGGGGATCTCTATGACTTCGAGGCCAGCCTGGTCTATAAAAGCTAGTTCCAGGTCAGCTAAGACTGTTACACAGAGAAACCCTGTCTCGAAAAAAAAAAAAAAAAATCAACATACCTGAATTAAATGTATACCACTGAGGTTAACTTCACACTAGGGAAAAGCATGCATTATTGAATCCCAGATTATGGTCTCTCATATTAATTTAATACATGGTTAGTGTTATACTTTTAGTGACCCATTATTATTCTCTGGAGATTATGAATTAAACACATTATCACTTATAAGAAGTATCAGGACAATCTACACTTTCAAATGACTATTTCCCTAAGCTCTTTCTCAGCTGAGGAACTGAGAAGTAAATTACTTTTGTGAAGAAAGACAATAAAACTGCTAAAGTAATTCCAGTTAAAGTAAGAAAAAAAAATGAACTTTCCTAGTCAGAAGGCAGTTACATGTTCAAGGTCAACCTTAGCTATGCAGTGAATGTAGGGCAGCTTGTGCTGTAGAGTGGGGATGTATCTCAAAAATAAAACATAAACACGTTTCCTTGCCAAGCCTGTAATTCCAGCACTCAACAACTGAGGCAAAACATGTGGTGGTGCTTTAAGCCTCAATGATTCAGAACTAGGCAGGAGGATCAGGAGTTCAGGTAATTTTGGACTACATAATAACTTAAAGGCCAGCCTGGGCTCCAAGACTCTGGGGAAAAAAAGAAAGACCTGGAAAAGATGTCAATTTCAACATCAGCCTGGGATATATAGCAAGACTCTCCTTCAAATTTTTTAATACATGTTTTTCACTTATTCAATTTGCTTTTGATTTTATGCATGGATGCCTTGCTTGCATGCATATCTGTGCACTGCACCAAATATATGCAGTGCCCTTGGAGGTCGGACGAGGGAGACAGATCCCCTGGAAACAGAGTTACAGATGGTTATGAGCTGCCATATGGATGCTAGGAACCAAACCTGGACTATGCAAGAATAAGAAGTGCTCATAACTGCTAAACAATCTCTCCAGCCCCTAGCTATCTTCTTAAAATGTTATCTCTTAAAAATTGAAGGGATGAGAAAATTTAAAGTTAGGATTTAATGACTACCTTCTATATAGTGGATGAAACAAAAATGCTCAAGTTGTGGTTGAAAGGCTATTTGAGGACAGTAACCCCCACTGTCAAACTCTACTCGCAGAAAAAGAAATGAGCATTTCTAATGAAAGCTGCAGTGTTCACCCTTGTAACAAACGATGGAGTCTGGCATTCCCCATCATGGGCGTTCCCCATCATGGGGGCCTGGCAACCTGCACTTCTGATGGAATATACTAGCATTTCTCAATATTGCTTATATGACAGTCTTGTGATCAAGAAACAGTTCATGAATCCAAATTGTGAGAGCCTCAGGAACACTGACATAGACTAGGAGTCAACTGTGACATGAGCAGAGATATGTCCAGGGACAGTTCATTTTGTTTTGTTTTGATACAGTCTCTATATGGTCCTGGCTGTCCTAGAATTCCCTATGTAGACCAGGCTGGCCTCAGACTTGCAGAGATGCACCTGCCTCTGCCTCCTGAGTGATGGGACAGTTCTAAGTAAAGAGTTTAAAACATAATAGAACCAACATATGAACAGTGATTGTCTTGTGTACATAGATTGTGAGTGTGTATGTTTGCTATATTATTGGGACAACTACAGAAAGAAGGAATACAGAGTATAGATTGTATAATACTCTTGAACAGGTGTTTCTAGCTGTACAACAGTGATGGAGTTGTGTAAGGGGCAGGCTTTGAAGATGTACTTGGAATAAGCACTATTATGTCTGAAACTTACTTCAGGTTGGCAAAAAGTGTGTATAAAAAGACAGTTGATTGGTGTGGAAAAGACTAAATGAAAAGGTATTAGGCGTTCACTATGCTGTTACCTCAACTTTTCCATGTATTTCTTTCTTTTTGTGTTTGTTTGTTTGTTTGTTTGTTTGTTTGAACTCCCTGTGTAGAGCAGGCTGGCCTCGAGCTCACAGAGATCTGCCTCCCTCTTCTTCCTAATTGTGGGTCTGTGCCACCACCACCCAGCTTCTACATCGCTTGTATCTTTTTAATTTTGATAACACACACATGGCTGAGACTACTTTTTACAGACTTCTGCTTTACCAGGGTGTAAGAAGAAATACTATAGCTGGGCATGGTGGCTCACACCTTTAATCCCAGCACTCAGGAAACAGAGGCAGGAGGACTTCTGAGTTTGAGGCCAGCCTGGTCTATAGAGCAAGTTCCAGGCCTGCCAGGGCTACACAATGAGATCCTCTCTAAACAAACAAGCAAAAAAAAGAAAAGCTGTACTAACTTCCAGGGGATCCCTTGACCTTTTCCTTTCTGTCTACTATCAGTGCTACATTCTAGCATTAACTTTCCAACTGGAATTCTCTCCCACATAAAACAGCAGTGTCTAACATTTCGAGAGCCACAGCTCCCAATGACAGAATGTTTAATAAACGTGTGACTTAAAATCCAGAAAGAGTACACAATACACTGGTGTGAACCGAGCACTTGGGAGAAACTGAGCAGTTATAGGAAAAAGAGCTACATTTTGGACAGTGTATTTTCAGCACAGATGCGGGGGGGTGGGGCCCAGCAGCACTGTACTCGCTAAAGGACAGCTCTGGACTCAACTACTCAAGAGCAGCACACCCAGCTCAGGGCTGCAGAGAAAGCAGGATTTGAACTGGAGAGACGGAACAAATAAAACCGTCCTATAAAGGAGTGCCCTGGAAGACAAGCATATAGCACTTGCCTGCTACCGTCACTACACTACTTGGGAGGGAAGGCAGGAAGACCCTAAGTTCAAGGCCCACCTCTACCACAAAGTAACTTATAAGCCAGCCAGCCTGAGCTCCATGATGAGAACTTGTTTGAAAGAAGCAAAAAGGAGAGGTGCAGGAATGTGGGAACAGAGAGTGCAGTAAAGCTACAACAAGAATTGGAAGCCCCGGTAGCATTTCAGGAAACTCTAAGGTAGGGCTAGCAAACTGTAGCCAGCAGGCCTACTCGGAACACCTGTCGGTAGCTGGAGAGCATATATGAAGATTTGCAGGTGAATATTTGTTACCAGTTAGAGAACAGAACACTAACTCCCAAGTCTAAATTCTTGCATCAAAAGACCAATCTAGGGGCTGGAGAGATGGCTCAGAGGTTAAGAGCACTGACTGCTCTTCCAGAGGTCCCGAGTTCAATTCCCAGCACCCACATGGTGGCTCATAACCATCTGTACTGAGATCTGGTGCCCTCTTCTGGCCTGCAAGCATACAGGCTGAACACTATGCACACAGTAAATAAATAAATCTTAAAAAAAAAAAAAAAAAAGACCAATCTACCTCATTTATTATGGTTTGTGGATTTTCTCTTGTTGACCAAGTATCCACGCTATCCTTGACTTTGTCTTTAGGCCTGAACAAACCTAAGCTATCTACCAATGGAGCCACTTACAGAAAGTGTGCCAACCCCTGCCCTCTTGAAACTCATAAAGTAGGTCAGTTGGAAGCACTAGACACTAAAAAAGAAGGACCTAAGCCAATTAGATCAGTAAATCATAATTGACTGATCTTGTTGGGTAGGAAGGGCTGTTCGCGAGCCAAATTGAAGTTTGTGCAGTAAAGGAAAAGAAGCAAACCCTCTCAGTCATAACGAGGGAATCAAATTGTGACTTTTGCAAACTGTGGACAGTGGTCAGCTATAGCGGGTCTACAGAATGCAGGGTCTGCTGTAAAAGAAGCAGCCTATGTTTGTTATATAAATAATATTATTTGTATATATAATGTACACACACAAACAGGAAAAATCGAAACTTGAGAAGAAAACGAAGTAGCTCTCAAGCAGGAACTCCCGTAACAGGACTCTGACAAGAGCCTGAAGCCAATGCGAAGCTGCTGTGACCTCCGACCCCTAAGTGAGCAGCCCTTTCCCCGACTTTCTGGGTACCCAGTTCCCCAAGTCCAAAGCTCCCTACTGTTCCAAAGTAAACGCGATTACCCGGGAGCCTGTCTGGAGCGGCTCCGGGGCGGCGGCCCGGCCCACGCATGCGCGGCCGGATCCGGATTCAGGGCAGTGGACACACAGGACCTAGCGCGTCCCACCCCACCTGCTCACCTGCTTCCGGGGGAGCTGGGGCCCAGGAGAGGCTCCCGCTCGGCCTCGCTGCCCAGGCTCGCCATAATGACAGCCCGCACCAGGCGGTGCGCCAACTCTCGCGACACCTGCTCCTTCCCCTCGGCCTGATCTGTCAAACTCTGCCGCAACTGCGCGTGCGCGCCGACGGGCCGGAAGTGGAACGGCAGTGCGGGGGGAAGAGTGAGGCCCCGGCCTCGCGGGAGCCTGAGGCGGTCGGCCGCGGTTGTCTTGGTGATGCAGGCCGGAAATGGCAGGAGGCGGCCAGAACCGCCCGCTCGGGGCGGGTCCTGAGGGAGCCCCGCCCCGCGCTCGTCCTCCTTGCCCGCCGGGCTGGCGGCGAGCCGGCTGCTGGGTACCTGGGAAGATCTGCTCTTGGCTGTCCGAGCTGAGGCGAAAGTCCGGTCCCTAGAGCGCGGAGAGCGGCGGTGCCAGGCGCCTCGGCGGACTCCCCTTCAAGTGTACGTCTGCAGCGGCCCGTAAGTAGCAGCCGGTGCTCTCCCGGCCTCTGCTGTGTACGTGCCTGGCAGCATGAGCGCAGCCGGGTCCTGGTCCTAGGGAGGGTATTGGCGGCCCCTGCCCTCCCCTGCGGGCCCCTGGCTCCTCACTTGAGAGGTCTGAGGGACCCGACTGAGGTGGCAGCCAGCTGCTGCTGCGTCGCTGACTCCCGGCCCCTCGAGCCTCAGCTTCGCCCAAATAAATGCCTTCAGCAGAGCCTGCTTAGTGCCCACCGGCTGCTTTCACCATCAGGAGCACGGATATTCACCAGATGCTGTTTACTTCCTGCCATGGGACCTGTAGGCTAATAGGTGCCAGTTGTCATTGCGTGTCACGGCGTTTGCCTGCTCTAGATAACATTGTCATGTGATTTCACTGGATCACCTCTATCCTAGGAGATGTGTAAAGCAGACACACTTCTACTTTACCGCGACCTGAGGTCGAGATAAGTTACCTGGAATCCCGGTGGGGAGGTGACAGAGTTGGGAACCAGTCTCAGTTGTTTTCATTAGTGTGAGCGCTGCTCAGCGTTTGTCCTGCCTCATATGAGCTCTCTGTTGTGTGGAGTTGCCATCACCCCACCTCTGATCGTTCGCTTGTCATCATCTCGTGTATAGCCAATCAGGCCTAACCCACTAGAGAACGGCTAAATTTGAAAAGTGTCTTCTGTTAATTGTCTTCCGAACCCAGCTCTGGTTTATTAGATTCTTGCTCGTTCTCAGTCTTGCCGATTCTTTATAGTAACAAAAATATGCAGCTTCTTCTGATTGGTTACAAGAGTATAGACGGGTAGAAAATGAAGCATTTTCCAGCCATGGTACTGCTTCCTGAGTCACGGTTATCTTTTCTAATCCCGAGGCTGACACAATTTGTATCGCATACATAGTGGAAGAAGAAAATGTTAACTAGTCTTCCACCAAGCAGAATGTGCTGCGCATGTTAAAAGAATGCTTATTCAGTTCCCTCCTGTCATCCCTACAATAAGGAAGAGAGGGATTGATTGTCCAAGTAGACAGAATTGAAAGGCAGAGGGAATAGGTAAGTTGCCGAGGGTTCTCCAATTAACCAACAATGACTTGACTTCAAGAAACAGTTCCTTGAGGGCAAAACCTGTGCTCTTTACTGCCAGGTTTCCTGTAAACAGAACACCAATAAGACTATCTTCTCATATTTCTTAATATCAATACAAGCTTTCTGTGTTTGTTCAATTGAAATAATGTGTTGCTATTTATTAGTCCAAGTGTAGTTTCCCACTTTGAGGTTGAGGCTGCTCGCTCAAGGTCACACAGCTAGTGGAATAACCAGCTCTTTCCACTACGGCCTCCAAGTGATGACTTCAGGCCACAGAAACCCATGCAGTGAGTGTATAAACAACTCCCGAAATCGACTCCTGTTTTCTCCAAACATTCTCAGTAGCAGTCAGAGCAAACATGGGGAAGACAACTATGGTTTTTTTTTTTTAATACTGCACCAAAAAAAGAGCAAAATTTTAAGAGATTAAATAAATCCCACGCTGAATGTGTTTCTCAAAGATGTGGGAATTGTTCGGTATTGTCTTTTCCCTCGTTTTCTTTTTTCGTGTTGCTAGAGATTGAACTAAACCTTGCAAATACTCTATACGAAAGCTATCAATTGAGCTATATACCCAAACCCTGGCTGGGTTTTCTTGAATGATGGTTTAGAATAGATAGTTACCTCTCTCCCAAATACAGTGTAAGGGTAAAAGTGCTTAAGTTGGTTGCCAAAGAGTAGTGCATTTTAACAGCGTTGACATTTTTGTGATTTGAAAGTGTGAAATGGAGGGCTGAGAGATCGGTCTGAGGTTAAAAGCACTTGTTGCTCTTGCAGAGGATCAAAATTCAATTCAGTTCTAAGGTATCTGATACCATCTCCAGACCTCAACAGGCACCAGGCACATACAAGGTTCATATAGATACATGCAGGCTCTGATACGTATAAAATAAATTTTAAAAAATATGAAATGAAAATTAAGTCTCTTGTGGGAGAACGAAAAGGAAGTCATTGTATATGATAGATTGAAAATTACATTTTAAATTTTTAATTTTTGTGCAAATTGTGCACATGTGAGAACGTCAGAAGACAGCTTGCAGAAATGGGTTTCTGTAGAAAGAAAAAGTAATGTTTGTTTAAATACTTAGATATCAGAGTAGTAGGAGATTAAAAAGTACTAGATGGAGTAACATTAATAGATGTGAGTGCCGCGCTAGCAATAAAACTCATCTCTAGGAAAGGCATTCCATTCCTTGGCATTGTGATCATAGTTCTATTTTTGTTCCATTTTGTTTTTCTCCTTCCTACCTGCTGTTTAAAAATGGAGGTGGCAGATGGGTCGCTTTCCATTTGCTTGGTTGCTTGGCTGCTGCTTCTGCAGAATCTCACTGCCCTCTTGCTTGACCTGAGGGCTTTTAGTACCTGGAACAGTTCCAGATGGCATTTCTCTATGGTAAAGTGGTGTTGTCTTTATCCCAACTTAGAAAACTCACGGTTCTGCAGAGCCTGAACATAGCCAGCCCTGCCTAGAAAGCTCTGTTTTCAGAGACTGGGGAGATGGCTCGGTGGGTAAGAACACTTTCTACACAAGTGGGAGGATCTGAGTTCAAGTGTCCAACGCTTTTGAGAAAGGCTGGGCATTGCTGCATTTGTCTGTAACCGCTATCACTATCTGAGTGATGGAAACGAAGATTGCTAAGGCTTGCTGGCTGCCAGCCCTAGCTCTGGGTTCAGTGAGCAACCTGCTCTCAAGGCAGAGTGATACAGAGGAACAGCCAATGTCCTCTGGCCACTGCATCTCCACTGGCATGGGACCCTGCACACACACACATGCAGTGCAGTACACCATACACACATGTACACACTCACACATACACATATACCTCAAAAAAGAACTGTCATTTAGATAAGAAGACCTGCATAATACCAGATTTCAGAACCAAATGCATAATAAACTCTGTGTGTATGATTTGCTTTCTGTTCCTCTTCTGTGAATTGGTAAATATAGCAAGGAAATAAATTGCCTTTAGGCTTGGGGCGGTCTACTACATAGGAAAGCAAAATGATTTGGGAAACTTTTCTAGTGTAGGGTTGGAAAGGACTGAACAATTTGGTATATAATGAATATTGTTCATTTTTTAAAGTGCTTTGGGCATGTTTTGGCATGTTGACATTTGTCTTTAATCCCAGCACTCATGAGCTACAGAGAGATCTCTGTGGAGTTTGAGGCCAGCCTGGTCTACAGAGCAAGTGCCAGGACAGGCTCCAAGGCTACAGAGAAACCCTGTCTCTAAAAACCAGAAAAAAAAAATAAGGCAGAGAGAACTAACTGGGAGTGGGATAGGCTTTTGGAACCTCCAAACCCACCCACAGTTACACTTCCCACAAGATCTCCTAATCCTTAACAAAGAGTTTCACCACCCAGAGTCCAAGTATTCAAATGCATGCCCCTATAAGGGGCCATTCCCGTTCATTTTGGCACATGGTTTCAGAGGCTTTGGTTGTTCATTTGACCACTTTGCTTTTTGGCCCATGGCAAGGAAGAGCATCATGACATGGAACATGTTGCAGAGACGCTCCTATCCAGTCACAGACTGGGAAGAGGGAGAGAAAAGGGGAACACAGAGAAGAGAGCGAGCCAGACTCTTCATATACTTCAAGCATACATACGCAGGAACTCAACCACCTCATAAAGGTGGGTGTACTACCACCCTACAAGCTGAGCACCAAGTGTTTAGCACATCCAGAGGACATTTCAGATCCTAACAATAACAGTAACTATTCTTCACTTAGAATTGTATTTCCTTACCGGGCGGTGATGGCGCACGACTTTAACCCCAGCACTCAGGAGGCAGATGCAGGCAGATCTCTGTGAGTTCCACGCTAGCCTGGTCTACAGCCACGAGTTCCAGGACAGGCATCAAAGCTACACAGAGAAACCCTGTCTTGAAATACAAAACAAATCAAACAAACAAAAAGAATAGTTTCCTTAAACTGTACCTCCATCCCACCACATTTATCCAAAGAGCTGACTTCATTGGGATTATGTAACATATGTAACGTTATATTTGTGTGTGTGTGTGTGTGTGTGTGTGTGTGTGTGTGTGTGTGTGTATACATGCTCTGGTAAGCAAGTAGATGCCAGAGGACACTTGCAGAAGCCAGTTCTCTCCTTCCAGCCATGTGGGTCCTAGACATCAGAGAGCTATCAGGCAAGTACTTTAGCTACTGAGTTTTCTTGGCAGCTCTTGATTTTTGTTAACTAGGTAAAGAATACACTGGCTATTCTGTTTCCAATTTAATTCACCCCTAATAGTCACAATCCATTTAGTGCAAACCCCCAAACTAAAGGTGTAGGTTCACAGATGTCACTGCCCTAGATGTCGGTCTCACTTCAGGGGTCTCCAGGCCATCATAAAGATACCTTCTGACTTGACTTTAAGAAAAGTTCTCTTAAGTTTCTTGTGGATCAATGATTTACTAGAATGACTGACAGGACTCTGAAAAATCCTATATAGTGCTTATTTTTTTTTTAAATTATACAGTGCTTATAATAAAGGATAGATACAACACAAAAACAGCCAAACATGTTGAGATGTGGTCTCTACAAGAGGAGTCAGGGAGTGTCTCCATTCAGACATCACGATATCTGTCCAACAGAGTCCCACCAAAGCCAGCGTCTAGAGTCTGTATTGGGGTTATATTACTCAGACATGATAAACTATGTGGCCCAGTGATAGAACATAACGTGCAGTTCCCATCCTCCAAGCTGGCCTGAAGTTCAGCCTTCTAATTATGTGGTTTATCTCTCTGTTGGCCTGAAACTTTGCCACTATGCTCACTATGAGCCACCTCAGTAGCAAGAACCCTGGGAGGAACTGGATCTTATAGAGTCCTAGGTTTGTCCATGCTTCACATACACCCACTGTTGCGGGAGGTCCTTCCGCCCCTCCAACCAATAGCTGCTGAGATACCAGCCAATTGGGGCGTGGTTTTTCTCCCTTTAAAAAAAACGGCTACTTCCCTCTGCTCTCTCTCTTCATTTCCTGCTCCACCAGCGACTAGACTCCCTTCCTGGTTGCGCAGAGGGCTGTTGTCTGGGAAGGTGATCTGTAAGTTTTTTCCTCTTTAAATAAATACCACCCGGGGCTGGAGAGATGGCTCAGTGGTTAAGAGCATTGTCTGCTCTTCCAAAGGTCCTGAGTTCAATTCCCGGCAACCACATGGTGGCTCACACCATCTGTAAAGAGGTCTGGTGCCCTCTTCTGGCCTGCAGACATACACACAGACAGAATATTGTATACATAATAAATAAATAAATACTTTAAAATAAATAAATAAATAAATACCACCCTATTAATCATAATTTCAAACTGGTGTGGCATTGTTCGTGACTTACGCCTTCAACCCACAGCCTCTCAGATACTTTTGTTTTAAAGATGAGGTCTTACTGGTAGCCCGGGTTGGCCTTAAAGTCAGGACCATCTTGCCTCAACCTACAAGTGCTAGGGTTATAGGCAGCTGTCACTACATCTTGCTAAATAATGGGCTTTTTTTTTTGGTTGGTTGATGATGCTGGGAATGGCTTTATGTATGCCAGAAAAGCACCGAACTAAGATGCATCTCCACTTTATTAGATAACATGGACATTTATTCTTAAAAAATAATTTACCACCCATCTATATACTTAAATTATTTTAATAATTGTTTTAAATTAGAATATATATACTTATATTATTTTAATATTTGTTTTAAAATAGAGTCTATATATATATTGCAAATAGATTACATTTAAGAAGTAATCTTCAGCCAAGCGATGGAAGTGCATGCCTTTAATCCCAGTACTTAGAGACAGAGACAGGACAACCTGGTCTACAAAGCAAGTTCAGGCCAGGACTGTTACACAGAGAAACCCTATCTGGGTGGGAAGGGTCAATTATCCAGTTCCTGCTTGTGAGTGGAGGTAGGTGGATCTGGAGTTCAAGGTCATCCTTGGCTACTGGATGATTTGAGATCAGCCTGAATTATATGAAATCTTGTTTCAAAAAGAAAACCATAAAAACCAATTTTTATTTGCCATTTGTTTAATGACTTTAAAAAACGAAAGAAAACAAAGTACTAATTGACATTTTTCTTTGGAGAGGTTGGTTTTTTAAGTAAGAGTTTAAAGTGAACAGAAGAATGTAAACGTAATTTAAACTAAAAAGACCCAATTGGCTTATAAACAAGTGGTTGTTTCTAGATCTACGGAGTTTGTGGTTTTAGTAGGGTTTTTTTATCCCATTGATAGAAATATGAAGATCTAATCCTGGTATTAAAGGTAGAAACCCAGACATACTCAAAGGCAGAGAAGTAACCGTTTCTTCTTCCCATGTAGCATACAGTTTCCAAGGTAATCCTTAAGATCATTGTTTTCCATTGCTCACAGTATTGAGTTTGGGCAGAACCCATGATTTTTACCTTCTGACCAACAGGCAATGGAAACACTGATTGCACTCACACACTCGCCCTTTCTGCAGAGGTGTTGGACCCCTAGGGCCCTCTTCTCTCTCCACCTGGTCATAAAGAAAAGACGTCAGTACTGTTTCTGATTTGTATGGCGAGAGCAAAGTCCGTGTGAGATGAACTGTGTGGATGCCCCCCAGAGCTGAGCTGGTCCTCTGGTTGACAAAGCACAAAATATGAATCAATCCTACAGTTGCAAATATAGAAATTGTACCCCAGACCTAGGCCTGAAAGCAGATTCTTCTTCTTGAAGCGTCTAGGTGAAAATTTCCCCCAGCTGACGTTTGATTGAAGTAGTCGAGGCCCTGAAGTAGAAAGCCCAGCTAGATGGGTTATGGCACACTAATCCTGGTGGGAAAGGCAAATGAGAAGATTGAGAAGAGGCAAAGTAGACTCGGAGATGCATTCTTCAGTTCTTTCTTAAGGTCTTGGGGAAGCTGTTCCCGGGGACTTGGACCTGTAATCCCACCTCCACAGGAAGCTGAGACATAAGATTGTCAAGTGCCAGTGAGAGCAATTTAGTGAGACCTCTCAAAATGAAGAAAACCCAAAGGCCTGGGAATATAGCTCAGTGGTAGCCCTTGGCCTAGTAGGAGCAAGGCCCTAGGCCCACCCTACCCTACTCCCCCTCCCCCCAAAAAAGAAAAACAACCAGGTCTTAGTGAAGCTTTCAGGGATTTAGATTATGGCCCTTTTTGAAGAGAGTCACACTTCTGAGTTCCAAACTAAGAGAGCTATAATTACAGCTTGCTGGAGTAGTTGTCCAGAGCAAAAGAAAGCATCAATTTACTTGTAAAGTTCTGTAAGGAGACTGTCCCCCTAAAGTAGCTGACTAGCAGGTGGTACTCCCACAACTGTCCCTGCTTTACTTTCTTCCCATGCTCAAAGTCAGATATGTTCAGTTCTTTCCACATAGCGCTCTTCCAGCTCGCCTGTTAGAGACAGATCTTAAAGATGGTTTGGGGCAGGTTCTACACACGGGGGAAGGACCATTCCTGTTGACCTCCAGATGGAGAGTGCGCTGCCCTGTGGCTTGTCGAGCCCATGGGAGGACCTGTGTTAACTTGCATGGGCAGATGCGCATGGAGGCGGTTCAGATTTACAACAGGGAGGAGGGCAGGCATGAAGAGGAAGTGGAAAGCCTCTGGATTTTTCTACGATGGTGTACAGAGGCTGCTGAACCGTGGGAGTGGAGTGATACCCCTTTAGGATGCCATACCGAGCAGAAAGCCTCCAAAAAATCCTCCAGTTACTAATACATTCTGCTTTATGAACGACACCAACTCCTCAGCTTTGCTCTTGACCCCAGTTGGTAATTGTGCCCTCTTCGGAATCTTCAATTGTTCCTTGGCCTTTTTCATGTCCTTCTCTACGCGATTCCAGTCAACTTTGATGTGGCCAGTATGGTTTGCGAGCTCAAGGAGAATAATGCCCCCTCCCACCGCTGTGGCAGCCAGCTTTCCAACTTTCTGGAATATGAAGCCAGTGCACCAGCCCGTGATGCCGCCAATCAGGAGCTGGGTTGCCACACTGTACTTCTCGCCCGCAGACCGTGTCTCCTGCCCAAAAAGTTTGCGCCACCAAGGCTGGTTTTTGCCAAATTCTGTAAGATCCAATGCCTCATAAGCATCAACGTGCTCTTGACTGTTCGTGGCCATCTCTGTGAGCTGCGAGTTGCGAGAGGACAGCCGCAGAGGGTCAGTAGGGCAGGAGATAGAGCGCTTTGCGGTTACGTTGGTGGTGGTTGTGGTCGTTGTCATGGCCTGCTGACCTTCCGCATGTGGGCAGATGTATCCATTCCCACGGCTGAGGGGAAAGAGGGCAGGTGGAGCATGCGCCTCAGCTTTTCTTCAGGGGGAGCTACGTCATAAAGCCACCTTGGCCTTTATCAAACTGCGTGTTCTAAGGATCAGAAAAGGCTAAAACTCACTCGGTGTTCCATATTTATTAGACTGGAAAAGTAAAGTATATTGTAAATACTAGTTGAAAGATTTGTTGGGGTTTGCAAAAAAAAATTGATTTCAATTGAATACTCAAGCTAAAGACAAGATTTGTTACAAAGTACAACCAAGCCTGAAGTTGAAACTTGACCCTCTTCTCCACTAGCAATATGGCCTAGGATAAATAACTGTTTTCCCTATGCGTCAGGTTTTTCTGTATAACTCAGATAACCCTATTCCATGTGTCCATGGAGAGCCTGGCTGATACTGCAGTAATCTGTAGCATTCCTTACTCTGCTTTCTGATACAGCAGATACTTACATCAGTCCCCGTGATACAGATGGGAGCACTTGCCCTAGGAGGATTCTTCATATAGAGATTTTAGGTGCTGCACATCTCTGCTTTGAATTCCAGGGTTTTTTCTAAATCTCCTATTGTATTTTCACAAGGACATGTTCATGAAGGATTTTCTCTTCAGTCCTTGATTTTACTTGGTATTCACATGAGTGGTTAGAAAGTTGATCTGCTGCCTTAATAAAAGTAAAAGTATTTTGAAATTATTTTAAATTTTACTTCTAGATGCTGTCTGCCACTCATGGGTGTAAGCAAGTTAGATATTCTATACCGGAGACTTCTCCTCACAAAACTCTTCATCAGAGGATGGGGAAGGCCAGAAGATCTCAAGAGGTAGTGTGTGTTTCATGAATGCTTGACTGTCATTTCTGTGTGTATGAGTTCTTGCCTACACACATGTGTGTGTATCATGTATGTGTCTTGTGCTTTTTGGGGTCAGAAGAGATCATCGGGTCTCCTGGAAATGGAGTTGAGAATGATTGTACGTCACCACATGGGTGGTGGGAACCAAACCTGAGCCTTCTACAAGAGCAACAAGTGCTCTTCATAACTGAACCCTCTCTCCAGTCCATAAATGGTTATTTTGAATTTATTGTTTTGATACACAGTTAAATTTTTATTTCAGCTGTAAAATACTTTAGCTTTTGCCAGGCGGTGGTGGTACACACCTTTAATCTCACCACTCGGGAGGCAGAGGCAGGTGGATCTCTGTGAGTTCAGGCCAGCCTAGTCTACAACAGCTAGTTCCAGCGCAGGCTCCAAAGCCACAGAGAAACCCTGTCTCGGGGAGGAAAAAAAAATAGCTTCAAATCTAGATTAGCTTATTGGGGAAATTAAATATTGATTTTATAAAAAGTTTTCCTTTCATCCTCTTAGTTATTTCTGTACATTTTAGCTTAGAGCTTCATGTCTTGGGTGCAAATTAGTTTCTTTGCATCAGTAACAACCAGCTAGGCTGGTTGAAGTGTTGTGTGGTTTCCAAGAATTGACTTTCTAGGATAACCTAAATTTTCAATGGCTATGAAACTGGAATACGCTAGAACTCATGGAAAAATCATAAGAAAAATTATTTCAAGATTGGCCTCTTTCACTTTGAATTTTATAGGTATTCATTGCTTATGATCGATTTTCTTTCTCATATTTTTTAAGAAAAGTTTTCCAGTCTCAAAAAGAGAGAAGAAAAGGTACCCTCTTCTATCAGTGATAAAAGTTTAGTGAACATTGCCTCTTAATTGATTTTGCTAATTTTAATCACTATTCATCACTCATAACAGTAAGTATAACAGTTAACATAAAAGGTGTTTTAAAAATACAAACTTTTGTCTCCTAATAGACTCTTTGAATTCAGAAAGATGATTGGAAATCGAGAAAGGTGCCAGAATCTGGTTTCAAGCGACTATCCAGTGCACATTGATAAGGTATGTCAGAACAGACTGTCCTGAAATCCTGTAGCAGTCACCGCGACAGTACCGTGGAGTGTTTATGCATATTTAAAGAATGCTGTTTTACCTCAGTGACGTTTTAATAATTTTACTCATAAATAATGGGGAACATATGTTTAGCATTTGCCTGAATACTTAGTATTTAGGCTGCATTTTTCTGAGTTTCATTTTGTATCCTTAGGCTCCTGAGGGTTCAATTATTCAACATTAAAGAAGAATATTAAAGAAGACTAGTAAGTATTAAAAGAGAGCAATCTACCTGAGAATCAGCACATCAGGCATTATTGGCAAAAGTAGCTATTAGGAAGTGTCAGGGCGCAACAATAGAACGCATTACTCAGAAAGAAAATGCTCTGAACTTGGAGAGGGAGAGGATATTTTTGAAATTGTTTTGTTTTATAAGCAATCAGCTGTTTTTCTATACGATCTAAATGTGTGTGATTGAGTACTTTGAGATATTGTAGAAGGGAAATAGATGGGTGAGTTTCCCAACCTATCCCTGACCTTGGCTGAAGTAAGTATTCTTGCATCTTTTATAAATTGGATATATTTAGATTTCCTTCATCAGAAGATTTCCCCTGATAAAAAAAAAAGAGAAACTTGTAAATGGAAACCTTCTCTACACCATAGATGTTACATGTAGACTGTATTTTAAATTTGTCTTTGTTATTCAAATTTTGGTGAATATTTCCATTTTTTTTCCTCTGGGTTTTTTTTTCTTTAAAAAGTATAGCCTCAAAAAACATTTAGGGCCGGGCGATGGTGGCGCACTTTAATCCCAGCCAGCACTCGGGAGGCAGAGGCAGGCGGATCTCTCTGAGTTTGAGACCAGCCTGGTCTACAGAGCTGGTTCCAGGACAGGCTCCAAAGCCACAGGGAAACCCTGTCTCGAAAAACCAAAAATAAATACATACATACATACATACATACATACATACATACATACATACATACATAAAAAACATTTAGGCTCTTGAGCAGACTGTGGTGGCTCACACCTTTAATCCCAGCACTCTGGAGGTAGAGGCAGGTTGATCTCAGTGAGTTTGAGGCCAGCCTGGTCTACATAGCGAGTTCCATGACAGTCAAGGCTACACAGAGAAACCCTGTCTTGAGAGGGGGAAATAAAGTATAGGCTTTTAGCCAGGTGTGGTGGCTTTTAGGAGTCAGAGGCAGGAGGATCTCTGTGGGTTCCAGGGCAGTTAAGGCTACACAGAGAGACCCTATCCCTTCACCCCTCAAAAATATATTAGTAAACTTTTAAGGCTGAGGAGATGGCTTAATGGGCAAAATCCTCATTACATCCTCATGAGAACCTGAGTTCAGATCCCCAGGACCCACCTAAAAGCCAGACATGGAAAACCAAAGACAGAGGAATCTTGGAGACTGCTGGTCAGCTAGTCTAATAGAAACTGCAGGGTCTAGCTTAGTGAGAGACTTCGTTGCCAAAAGTAGAGCAGCTTGAATTGGGGGCATAATGCCTTTAATCCCAGATGACAGAGGCAGGCAGATCTCTGTGAGTTCAAAGCCAGCCTGTCTATATAACAAGTTCTAGGACAACTAGGGCCACCTAAAAAAGCAAAATATAGGAAACAAATAAGTGGAGAGCAATAAAGGAAGACATCGTATGATGACTCTGGTCGCCCCACACACATGGGTAAGCTTGCCCAAAAAGTTACATGGACAAAGAAATATGTGCACAAGTCAACGTACCAAGAGTATATAGGCTTTTTAAATAAACAGAGTATGCCAAATAAAAATCAAGTCTCTGTTTATCTCTGCCAGTCTCCACCTCCGATCCTCTTTCTGTGCTCCCAGAGAGGACAGATAATCTTTTTTTTTTAATTTATTAAACCTACTTCCCATAACTGTAATACCCATCCAGACAGAGGCGATCACAGTCTCTTAACTTTTCAATGTGTGTACTCTTTTTTTAAAAAAAGATTTATTTATTAACTATGTATACAGTGTATTGTTTTGCCTGCATGTATGCTGCAAGCCAGAAGCGGGCACCATATCTCATTACAGATGGTTGTGAGTCATCACCATGTGGTTTCTGGGAATTGAACACAGGACCTCTGGAAGAGCAGTCAGTGCTCTTAACCTCTGAGCCATTTCTCCTGAGTATTGTAAACCTGCACTTAACTGACATAGTATTTTGTTTGTATTTTGAGACAGGGTTTTTCTATTTTTCTTTGGAGCCTGTTCTAGAACTTGCTCTGTAGACCAGGCTGGCCTCAAACTCCAGAGATCTCTCTGCCTCTGCCTCCAGAGTGCTGGGATTAATGATATGCACCACCACTGCCTGACTCTGACATAATATTTTACTGGTGCAAAAATAAAGGCTGGTTAGAAACTGATAAGCAAACCTTTGTAACACAGTGTGTGGTGAAATAGTGTTTTAACCTTTTAAAAACTTTTTCGATTGTTAAATAGATATTTCTTCAACAATCTACATTTTGTGGTTTCATTCTGTTTTTTGTTTGTATGTTTTTTGTTTGTTTGTTTGTTTTTGAGGTGGGTTTTTTTGTTGTTGTTTTTGTTTTTGAGACAGGGGTGTCCTGGAACTCACTCTGTAGGCTAGTCTGGCGTTGAAGTCACAGAGATCTGTCTGAGTGCTGGGATTTAAAGGCGTGCTTCACGAACACCCAGCTTGTTTGTGTTTTTTAATGGTAGGGACGAGGGATGTAGTTATTTTATTGATAGAATGCCTGCTGTGTGGAAGAGAACCCTCTTACTAATGTTAATTCGCAGACACAATGCTGGATTTGAAGAACTGAAGACACTAATGTGGATGAGTTTTTTTGTTTGTTCATTTGTTTTGTTGTTGCTGTTGTTTTTAGTGTTTTTTATGTGATAATTTCCTGCCACTTTAATTTGACCTTTGACCTGAAATAGGGCTTTTTTAAAATTTATTTTAAAGAATAACTTCTTGAGAAGGAAGCGTAGATAGTGAATGTTAGCCAAATTGCCTTTTTGGTGTGAACTTTTTTTTTTTTTTGGTTTTTCGAGACAGGGTTTCTCTGTGGCTTTGGAGTCTGTCCTGGAACTAGCTCTGTAGACCAGGCTGGTCTCGAACTCACAGAGATCTGCCTGCCTCTGCCTCCCGAGTACTGGGATTAAAATTTTATTTAACTTTATTTTAAATGCATTGGTGTGAAGGTGTCAGGTCACCTGGAACTAGATCTTCAGACAGTTGTGGGCAGCCATGTGGGTGCTGAGAATTGAACCTGGGTCCTCTGGAAGAGCAGTCAGTGCTCTTAACCACTGAGCCATCTCTTCAGCCCCTGGTGTGAACTTTTTGAGACAAGGTCTTGCTATGTAATCCAAGCTAGCTTTGAATTTGTGAGGCTCCTGGCTCAGCTTCAAACTATAGTGGTTTTAATCCTGTGTTACCATGGCTGCCTGTAAATTGTCATTATTACAGATAGAAATCCCCTTTTCTCCTTATACAATGCACCAGCAGGTAGTGTGATATCAGACCACTCTGAATACTTGGTATCAGCTTAGACTGCAACAATTATTGCTGCTTCTAAGTTGTACTTTTGATTGCTTTTATATTGTTGAATGCTTTTGATTGTTTTTGTTTTTGTGGCACCTAGAGTTGAACCCAGGATCTTCCTGCTAGCCTTGTGTATACTAAGCCATACTCCTAGTCCTCTTGAATGGTACTGAATTTCTTTAGCTTGTATTTTATTTTGAGACATTGCATGCCAGTGTGTGAATTAAATTTATTGTTTCCCAACTAGACTCTTGAGTAGAGAGAAAACAAATATGTGTAAATAAAAGGTGTCTTTAAAAGGGCATGAATGATGGCTAATTCCCTGTTAGGTAAATATAAATGGAGAAGTTTGAAAGAAAAGCACGAAATATTGCAGAAGATATCAGTTATATGATATTCTTTAAATAAATATGAACGTATAAGTAGTCTTGAATAAAAATATGTCTTTTGGCAGGAAAAAGCAGTGGTTTAGAAGGAAACATAGTAAGCACTGAAAAAGTTTTTTTAAATATTTATTTATGTATACAATAGTCTATCTGTGTGTATGCGGAAGGCCAGAAGAGGGCACCAGACCTTATTACAGATGGTTGTGAGCCACCATGTGGTTGCTGGGAATTGAACTCAGGACCTTTGGAAGAGCAGGCAATGCTCTTAACCTCTGAGCCATCTCTCCAGCCCCCACTGTAAAAGTTTTTGGTGCTAAAGATATAGCTCAGTTCTTGTGGTAAAAATGAGACTCAAGGGGGCTGGGGAGAGGGCTCAGTGGTTAGGACCACTGACTGATCTTCTAGAGGATCTGGGTTCAGTTCCCAGCACCAACATGACAGCTCACAACTGTCTGTAACACTAAGATCTGACAATCTCACATAGACATACATGCAGTCAAAACATCAATGCACATAAAATAAAAATAAATAAATTATAAAAAATGAGGCTTAAGTACAAGAACTGAGAGAATGTTAGTTTTTAGTTGAATAGATTTTTATCATCATCTAAAAGTCTATGAGAGACTGATACCTTAGTCTACTTTGCATACACCTTGGTTTTCTTTTCTTTTAGGTTGAAGAACAGTCAGATTGTAAGATCCTAGATGGACACTTTGTTTCTCCCATGGCCCACTATGTGCCTGGTATCATGCCAATTGAGTCAGTTATTGCAAGGTAAGCATCTGTTCAGCAAGGGAGATTAGTGAGTTCATTCCAGCAGCGTGTCCACAGGTGCTGAGTACACGTAAGTACTGCTGTGCGCATGGAGTGTGGACGATGCCCTGGGAGATTAATTACCCTCTCATGCCTACTGCTGACATGGAATTAAGGTTGTACTACTGCATGACGCTTAAGAAGTCAACACCGTTTTCATAGAAATCCAGACATGCACAAAGTCACATAGAAATATTTCCAAAGGATTTTAATCATGTGCCAGCTCTGCTTATTTCAGATTTTCACTTTGAGGGTAAAGTCACCTCACCAGTTCCCAGGACCCAAACAATAGGAGAGAATTTCCACAAGTTGTCCTCTGATTTTCACATGTGTGCCCATACATGTACACACACACAATTAATAAAATTTCATTTTTAAATGCCTTTGATGATGTGGCTGTAGAGGTGGCTTAGCAATTAAGAGCAATGGCTGTTCTTTCAGAAGAACTAGGTTCACTTCCCAACACCCACATCCTGGCTCACAACCATCTAGAACTCCTGCTCTGGAGGATCCCATGCTCTTTTCTGGCCTCTGTAGGCATTGCATGAACATAGTGTAAGACATTAATGCAGGCCAAATACTCATGCACATAAAGTGAATTTTTTTTTTTTTTTAATTTCTGTGATTCTGAGCTGGAGAGGTGGTTCAAAGGTTAAAAGCACTGGCTGCTCTTTCACAGAACCCAGACTTAATTTCTAGCACCAACATGGCTACTGGAAACTAGGGGTAACTAACACTGAAGAAACTCCCAAATGATCTGTGCCCTCTGCTGGCCTTCGTAGTACTGTATGCATTTGATGCTCAGACATAACATGTATTCAGGTAAGTAAATGCTCATACATATAAAATAAAAATCTCAAGTCAGAGGTGATGGCACATGCCTTTAATCCCAGCACTCAGGAAACAGATCCAGTAGATCTCTTTGAGTTCTAGACCATACTGGTCTGCATAGTGAGTTCCAGTTCCAAAAGGGCTACATAGTGAGACCCTGTCTCAAAAAATAGGTAAATAAATAAATGAAATTAATTAATTAAATCTCAAAAATATTTTCTGTGATTGCTTATGCACTCTGAGGTTACTGGAGTACATAAGCCACCCCTAGCTTTTACATGGTGCTGGAGTCCAAACTCAGATCTTCCCCCTGTGCGCATTTCCCAGTCTCCCCCTGCTCTCCTCCTACCCTTTGTTTGTTTGAGACAGGGTCTCGGGCTGGAGAGATAGTGTTAAGAGCACTGGCTGTTCCTCTGGAGGACCCAGGTTCATTTCCCAGCATCTGCATGGCAGCTCACAACTGTCTGTAACTCCAGTCCCAGGGATTGCCATACCTTGACACCAATGCACATAAATTAAACTTAAATTGATTATTAAGAAAGAGAGTAAGAGAGAGTTGCTCTGTAACCCTGACTGTCCTGGAACTCATCAAGTAAACCAGATTGGACTCAAACTCACTGAGAGGCAGGCAGAGTTCATGGCCAGCCTGCTCTACAGAGCAAGTTCCAGGACAGCCAGGTCTACACAGTAAAACTCCTGTCTCAAAAAAACAAAACAACAACAACAAAAGCCAAACAAAGTGGGAACCAATATAACTTTAACTATTGTAGTTAATATTATTTCTTTACTCTAAAATATTAATATTGTAAATTTTATGCATTTCTATTTTATTTTATGTGTGGGGGTGTTTTGCTAACGTGTGTGTCTGCGTCATGTGTTTTGCCTGGTACCCAGGAGGTGAAAAGGGGATGTGAGGTCCTGGGCCTGGAATTGTTGAAGGTTGTGTCTCACCTTGTGGATGCTTGGAATTGAGCTTGGGTTCTCTAGGGCTCTTAACTGCTGAACTGTCTTCCCAGACCTGGGTTTTTGGTTTTGGTTTTTTCTTTTATTAACCTCTAAATAAAATACAAGCAGTGTTGTATAGAGCAAAGAACAGGACTTTGGCATTAAACAGTTTGAACTGAACCCTGGCTCCGCTACTTATTAATCCAGTGACCTTAGGGCCAGATTGTTCTCTGAACATATATTATAAAATAGAGATGACAACATTTCATCTCTTGTGGTTGTTAGAAGAGTTAAGTGATAGGAGGGATGAAAATCTTATTGAGTGCCTACAAAAAGCACTAAATAAACACACAGTTCTTTAGACTATATATTAGCAATACATGGTAAAGTTATTGCTGTTTCTGCATACTGTAATTATGCTCCTTGGATCTTTGTGCTGTTTTAACTTCTCAGAAAACTGTATAGGTTAAGATGACTGGAGGGAGGAAGGGGAGACTCAGTTTGAGAAATAATATAATTTCAACATTATCAAGAGTTAAAGAAATTCTTTATTTTGATGAAAAGAACAATAATAGGGAGACTACCAACTTTTAACAGTGCTATAGCATTTATTTTTTATGTTTTTAAAGAGTGTTTGAGAAACAGTAAATATTTAGCCCAGGCTAGCCTCAAAACTGTCAGGCTTCTTGCCTCAGGCTCCTAGGTGCTGGTTGGCAGTGCATTAATCTTAAGGCATCATTTATTTTGATGACTAGAAATTCCCACTGATGCACACTGACATCTGGTTTTCTCTTCTTTACCCATCTATTTGGGCAGGGTGTTTGTAACTTACATCATTGCATTAAGGTACTATTTCCAAATGGTATTATTTTCTCAAAGTATTATTAATTTTGAGAAAGTCAAAGTATTAATAATTCAAACACAAAGAGATCATTGCTATTTTACATATATCATCACCTTTTTTTCTTTGCTATTCATATACAAAGTTGCTTATTTTCTTTTTGGCCTAACCAATCAGTGAATAGATAGTCTGTTATCATGTTAGTAGCTGATTGGTATTCCCTGCTGTGGCACTACCATGATTTTCTAATTCTCCAAAGCACATAATTAAATTGCATGTTTTGTCCATTTGATCAACCTAATAGTAAACGCCCTTTCATACATCTTTTACCTGACTGTTTTCAGGGAATTTCTGGGGTTTTTGAGGAGGGTGTATTTATTTTTTGTTTTGTTTTGTTTGAGACAAGGTCTCTCTCTTATGGAGCCCTGGCTGTCCTGGTACTCACTATGTAGACCAGAGTGATCTTGAATCAGAGAGAGCCACCTGCCTCTGCCTCATGAGTGCTGGAATTAAAGGCACATACTACCATGCCAGGTACAAATTTCTGGGTTTGTAAGACTGTGTAGATTTTAAACTTTTATCATATTGTCATATAAGTAGGAAATGTTATTTAGAGCCCATAAGAAGAAACTTGTGTCCTCTTGTTACTTAGTTCATTTCCTGTGATTCTGTCTCTTTGACTTTGTGCTTTTATGATGGCTGATTAAAAAAAATATATATCAGGCCTGATGGTGCCAGCACACACATTCAATCACAGCACTTGGGAGGCAGAGGCAGGCAGATCTCTGTGAGTTCAAGGCTAGCCTGATCTACCAAGCAAGTTCCAGGACAGCCAGGACTGTAAAACAGAGAAACTCTGTCTTGAAAAACAAAACAAAAATCTGAGGAGCAAATGGGGGGTGGGATGAGGGAAAGGTGGGGGAAACAGGAGGAGAGAAGAGAGGGGGAACTGGCATTGATATCTTCTTATAAATACATGAAGCAGGACTGAAGAAATGACTCAAGGTTAAGAGCCCTGGCTGCTCTTCTAGAGGACCTGGGTTCAATTCCCAGCACACACAGCTGTAACTACAGTTCCAGGGGACCCAACACCCATGGCAAAACACCAGTGCACATAAAATAAAAATAAATTAAAATTTCTTTGAGACACACACAGAGAGAGAGAGAGAGAGAGAGAGAGAGAGAGAGAGAGAACTGACTACTCTTCCAGTGAACTTGAGTTCAATTCCCAAAATGCATATGGTGGTTCACAGCCATCTGTAGCTCCAGTTCAAGGGAATCTGATGCCCTTTTCTGGCCTCCACAGTCACCACATGTATGTGGTTCTTAAACTAATCCAGATGCCTGAAATAAAAATCTCAGAAGATTTCTTGAGAAAAATGAAGAGAAGGATCTCCAACATTCTTCTTTTTCCTTTCCTTACTGTTTTCAAATTGTGTTATATCGATCTGTAGTGATATTTCTAAATCAGTAGGTGTAATGTTAAGCATATATACATTTTGTTTGCTTCGTTTGTTCTGTTAAGACAAGGATCTAAAGTAATTTTAGCCAACCTCAAAATCCTTGTAGATGGCTCAGCAGATAATGGTTCTTGCCGCTGTTGCAAAGAACTGGGTTTCAGTTCACAGCACCCCTACTTGGGGGCTCACGGTGGCTTATATAGTTCCTGCTTCTGAGTGTCTGATGCCTTCTGGCCTCCATGGGATCCCAACACATGTAATCTTAAAAACTACAATAATCGTCTTTGTGTTGGGTGTGGTGGCACACACTTTTAATACCAGCGCTTGGAAGACATGCAGATGGCTCTCTAAGTCCCAAGGCAGGCAAGGGCTATATATTAAAATCCTGTCTAAAAACAAAACAAGAAAAGCCTCATTATGTACACCTTTAATCCCAGCACTAGAGAGAAATATAAAATGGGAGGAGACAGGTCTCACACTCAGTCCCATTCTGAGGATTTGTGGAAGTAGGATTCCCATTTCAGTTTGAGGTAGTGGTAAGAGCCAGTGACTAGCTGCTTTGCTTTTCTGATCTTCAAATTGAACCCCAATATCCATCTCTGGGTTTTTATTACTCGTGCTACATTATCTTACCTAGGATGTGTATGTGGGGGGGGGGGGTTGGTATATGGATCCACGTGTGGGTGGTAGCCATAGGTTCACCTCCCATATTGTTGTGCAGGAATTATCCACCTTTTTTCTTAAAATGTGTCTCAAGGACCTAGGGTTTACAGATTAGACTAGGCTAGCTGGACAGCAAGACTCAAGGATCTGCCTGACTCTACTTCTCCAGTACTGGGGACACAAATGAATACCACACCTGGCTTATTATCTATTTTTTTAAAATGGTTTCATCTATGCCAGGCTGGCCTCATACTTGCTGTGTAGCTGAGGACTGCTTTGTACTTCTGATCCTCCTGCCTCTAGTTCCTGAGTGTAGAATTGTAGGAATATGCGCTTATGGCCAGTTTTATGTTTTACTGGAGATTGGACCCAGACCTTTGCATGTGAAGGGAGCTTTCCACCAACTGAGCCACCTCCCCAATCTTTACATTGGTGGAACTAACATACGCTTCCTTGCATCTCTTGTCTCTGACATGCATCGGGGCACACCTACACATGTACATATACATACAAAAATAAATAAGTAAATGTAAATCCACTGGCCCATCCTGTTGGAGAATTTAATTATAACACTTTTTAAATTGAAAGTTTAGAGCCAGGCATGATGAGTCACACCTGTAACCCCAGCAATTGGGATGCTCACGTGGGAGGAAGACCACAAGGTTGAGGCCAGCCTGAGCTACATAGTAAGTTCCAGGCCAGCCTAAGCTGTAATGGCAAGACCCTCTCCATAAATTAACTATATATGTATAGTTTGTAGCTAAAGCTCATTAAGGACGGTTTCGTTTCTTTTTTTTTTTTTTTAATAGGTTCCAATTTATTGTGCCTAAGGAATGGAACAGCAGATACAGACCTGTGTGCATTCATCTGGCTGGAACAGGAGACCATGTAAGACTTCAACTCTAGAAAACCCTCAGCACATCTTCTCAGCACTTGCTATTGTGTTCTAAGTGTGCCATCTCTCTCCTTAGCATTACTGGAGGCGCAGGACTCTCATGGCTCGTCCTATGATTAAGGAGGCCCGAATGGCTTCATTGTTGCTAGAAAACCCTTATTATATCCTTTTGTTCAATTTTAAAAGTTTCTTTATATCTTTATTTATATATTTACTCTTCAAAAGAATAATCAGTAGTACTTTTTTTTAAGATTTTTTTTTTTAAATTATTTTCTGAGGCAGGGTTTCTTTGTAGTTTTAAAGCCTGTCCTGGAACTAGCTGTTGTAGACCAGGCTGGCCTCGAACTCACAGAGATTCACCTGCCTCAGCCTCCCAAGTGCTGGATTAAAGGTGTGTACCACCACCACCCAGCAAGAATTATTTATTTTATTTTATGTGTATGGGTATTTGTCCTGCACATATGCCTGTGTACCATATGTGTGCTCAGTGTTTGTGGAGACCAGAAGAGGGCGCCAGATCCCCTGGAACTGATACTACAGTTGTGAGCTGCCTTGTGGTACTGAGACTTGAACCCAGGTACCCTAGGAGAACATCCAGTGCTCTCCACTGCTGAACCAGCTCTCCAGCCCCAGTGGTAACTAACTTTTCAAAGCTAGTTAAATCCAGTATAAGGTCCGAAAATATTTAAAAATCAAGAATGTAAGATTATTTTACACCTTTTTTTTAATATTTTTATTTATTTATTATGTATACAATTTCTGTCTACATGTATGCCTACAGGCCAGAAGAGGGCACCAGACCTCATTACAGATGGTTGTGAGCCACCATGTGGTTGCTGGGAATTGAACTCAGGACCTTTGGAAGAGCAGACAGTGCTCTTAACCGCTGAGCCATCTCTCCAGCCCCCTATTTTACACCTTTTAAAAGGAAATGTAATGGAAAGTAGCAATCAGGAGTTCAAGATCAGCCTGAGCTACAAAAAAATCCCGGCCAAAAGAATATATATAAAAAATATAAAGGCCAGGTGTGGTGGTGGTGGATGACGCCTTTAATCACAGCACTTCGGAGGCAAAGGCAGGCAGATCTCTGAGTTTGAGGCCAGCCTGGTCTACATAGCAATTTCTAAGACAGCCAGAGCTACCTGTCTCAAAAAAAGTAAAGAATGCATCATATAAGGTGTCTCTTTCCTATCATTCCAGGTGCTCAGGAGGTTGAAGCAGGAGGGTTGTGAGTTAGAGCCAGCTTAGGCTTCACAGTGAGACTAACATAATATTTTAATGCTATTTATAATAATGATAAATTGTATTTCTTGTATTTCTTATGCTGGACTTAATAAGTCAAATGTTCGCTATTAAAGAAATGATCATTTCCAAATATATTTATAGTAAAGGTGAAGATCTAGAACAATACTTAATTTTCAAGATGACATTAGACTATTCATAGAAAAAAATAAACTGATACACAACATACCTAGTAATAAAAGAAATGTAAAGTTCAACAATTACCAGTGTTTCTTAAATGACAAACACAGTATTAGGAAAGATCCTGTGAAAGGGGAACTGAGTGCAAATGACTGAGAATCAGTTTAGCTCCAGACAAAAGTAATTTTAATACCTGTATTAGGAGGCTTAAAACATATCACATCTGCCTGGGGAGATTGCTCAGTCTGCTAGCCAAGGTCCTACACACAAACCCTGAGACCCTCATTCAGAGCCCCAGAACTCACATCTTTCTGGGGAGATGGCTCAGTAAGCAAAGGTCCTACACACAAACCCCGAGACCCTCATTCAGAGCCCCAGAACTCTCATGAAAGAGCACGACGTTGGCACACATCCCTAACCCCAGTCCTGGGGAGGCGGAGACAGATAGATTCCTGGAGCTCATCGGCCAAGGTGGACAGTGATTGATGAAGATGCCAGTGACAACCTCTGGTCTCCACATGAACCAGCATACACGTGTGCGTGCACACACACACACACACAGAGCCAGCTCACAGCTGGGCAAAGGTGTGGCTGGGTGATAAGGGTGGCCTAGCATGTGAACTCCTGGATTCAAGCCCTTCATGTACTACCAAGGGGAAAATAAGGAAAAAATAATTTCTCAGATCTCTTGACAGAGTTTTGTGGGTTTTTTTTTTTCAGTTTCAGTGCAAAACAAAAGAAAGTTTAAACACTACACATAGAAAATATGCTAATATATCTTTGCTTATATAAGACAATAGAAGTGAATGTGCCCTGAGAGAAACTGCTGAGGGACCTGGTTCCTAACACTGGAGTGCATGCAGATAGTTGTGCTGTTATTGCTCTGCAGCTGTGCCCTCAGACCTGCCACTTACCTTTTCAGGTCTGTTTCCCACTTTTAGGTGGGATGATTTCTTAGATCCTACAGCTTAGAATAGTATTGGTTGGGTAAATATTAAGCATTTGTTAAGTTTAAATAAAAGCTTACTGTGTGAAATCAGGATGTGAAAGTGGGGCGTTGGACCGTGTTCTCTCGGCGACAGCACAAATGCACAGGTTCTGGGCAAATCCACGGCACCTAAGGCTGTCAGAAACAACCCAAACCGGGGGCTGGAGAGATGGCTCAGTGGTTAAGAGCATTGCCTGTTCTTCCAAAGGTCCTGAGTTCAATTCCCGGCAACCACATGGTGGCTCACAACCATCTGTAATGAGGTCTGGTGCCCTCTTCTGGCCTGCAGGCATACACACAGAAAGAATATTGTATACATAATAAATAAATAAATATTTAAAAAAAAAAGAAACAACCCAAAACATGTGCGTCTGTAAAGTAGCTTTGAATACTTTTCTAGGGGGCTGGAGAGATGGCTCAGAGGTTAAGAGCACTGACGGCTCTTCCAGAGGTCCTGAGTTCAATTCCCAGCAACCACATGGTGGCTCACAACCATCTGTAATTCGATCAGGTTCCCTCTTCTGGCATGCAAACAGAACACTGTATAAGTAATAAAAGAAAAAAAATGAATACTTTTCTATATTCCCTGGATTTATGAAATAAACATTTGTATCAATAAACTGGGCAGTGGTGATACACACCTTTAATTCCAGCACTCGGGAGACAAAGCCAGGTGAACCTCTGAGTTTGAGGCCAGTCTGGTCTAAAGTGAGTTCCAAGACAGCCAGAGCAACACAGAGAAACCCTGTCTTCAAAAAAAGAAAAAAATATATGTCTATAAATTTAAGATTATGTGACTTTGTAAGTATACTGAGTATATTAATTTATAAATTTCAAATAAGTGAATTACTTGGCTTGTGATTATATCTCAGTAAAGCTTTGTAAATTAAGAAAAATAACTAAGTTGAAAAATCTGAAAACTTCTAAACAGCTTTTAAAGTCACTGGGAAAGTAGTTATTTGGGTATTATATTCAAATTTAACTTTTGTGCTTAAATAATATGTTCTGAGATGAGTATATTTAATTATTTTAAAACTTTCTCTTTGACCCATCTTCTCAAATGGCTGCAGGAAGCCCAAGGACCAAGTGTAAGTATCTGTCACTTTTACTCTCTTTATTTCTACAGTCTTTAGGACAAGTGCTTGGTAGTCTTTAGTTAACCATTTCTTCAATTGCTTGTAAAACTTAGTAAGAATATTGACTTTAATTCTTATTTTTTAAGATTTTGACATTTTAATGTCTAGTAAGGTGACAGATTTAGAAAGCTTAGAGGCTGATTCAAATTATGTCTTATTTGTGAAACCATACCTGAACAAAAGGTAAGACTTTGTTGTTTTCAAATACATTTTTAAAATCTGTGTGTGTGTGTGTGTGTGTGTGTGTGTGTGTGTGTGTGTTGGGCAGGGGGTTGGTATTAGCATGTGAAGGTAGGTACGCATAGAATCCAGAAGGAGAACATTGGCTCCCCTGTTGTGAGACATCTACTATGAATGATGAGAACCAAGTCCTCTGCAGACTGATGACACTGGACCTGCTTTTATGAAAAGGGCAAACTTTGTCCTTACTGGAATACTTACTCTGGTTATGGATTTTCCTTTCCTGCACATAATGCTTCTGCCAAAACCACCAGCATGGACTTAGACAATGCCTTACCCTCCGTTGTGGTTTTCCACACAGCACTGCATCTGACCAAAGAACTCACTTCACAGCCCATGAAGTGTGACAGTGGACCTGTGCTCAGAGGATCCACTGGTCTTACCACGTTCCCCACCATCCTGAAGCCGCCTTTTGAAGACATTTACCGTGTCCGCTAGGTGGCAGTAGCCAGGAGGGTTGGGACAGGGTTCTCCAGAAGGAAGTATAAGCTTTGGAGCAGCATCCAATGGGCCTTGCTTACTGTGAGGACTGGGTTAGAATGAACTTTGTTAAACTGTGAAAATTACAGTCAAGCTAAATAGTTCAAGAATGTTCAGTCTGGAGACAAACCCTGAACTCAAATATAGGAGGTACATATGAGCTCTCTGCTAACCTGAGCTGCATAGGAAGCCTCTGTCTCAGGAAGAAAACCAGCAACACTAAATATAACCGTGAAGCAGTGAAATGGCTGAACTGTCAAAATCAATTGCTGCACAAGCAGGCAACCCAAGTTCAATCCCTGGAACCCAGAATAAGGTTGAAGGAGAAAACTGGTTCCATTCCATCCACAAAGTTGTCTTTTGCCTTCTGCATACACCGTGGCGTGCATACATGTGCACATGCACCAATAGAAACCCGTACACAGTAACCTTTCAACTTTCTAAAGTATTAAAAATGTAAATGTATGAAATAAATCATTTTATATTTTGTTTTGTGAGGGTAGAAGATCCAGCTTAAAAAATGTGTCTGACCTGTTTGTGATGGGAGGCGCTCTTATTCTGGAGTCGGCAGCTCTCTTGCACTGGCTGGAGAGGGAAGGTTATGGACCTCTCGGAATGACTGGAATATCCATGGGAGGACATGTGAGTCTTTTCAGCTTATATTTCATTACCATTGTGTTTTTAAATAAGGGTAATTTTAAGTGTACTTAAGGCATGAATTTAATGTTGGTGAAAATAGGCAGTAGTAATAGCTCCAATGATGAAGTAATGTTATTTTGTAAAATTTAGGTAGACAAACATATATTGTACAACTCCAGATATAACTCAGATTTTGGATTTAATACTTTATTAAATGCTAATTATGGGGCTGGAGAGATGGCTCAGTGGTTAAGAGCACTGTCTGCTCTTCCAAAGGTCCTGAGTTCAATTCCCAGGAACCACATGGTGGCTCACAACCATCTGTAATGATATCTGATGCCCTCTTCTGGCCTGCAGGCATATATGCAAACAGAATACTGAGAATACTGTAACATAATAAATAAATCTTTTTTTAAAAAAAATGCTAATTACAAAGCCACGCAGTGAGCTGGGCGGTGTGATGCATGCCTTTAATTCCAGCACTTGGGAGTCACAGGGATCTCTGTGAGTTCAAAGCCATCCTGGTCTACAAGAGTGAGTTCCAGGACAGGCTACAGAGAAACCCTGTCTTGTAAAACCAAAAATAAAGAAAAAAGAAAAGAAGCCCTGTTTCAAAAAACGAAAGTCAGGCAGTGGTGGTTCAAACCTTTAATCCTAGATCTCGGAAGGCAGAGGCAGGAAGATCTCCATGAGTTCAAGGCCAGCCTGGTCTATGAGAGCGAGTTCAGGACAGTCTCCAAAGCTACAGATAAATTCTGTCTCGAAAAAACAAAACAAAATCTAACTTTTCAAGGGTCTTTTCAATATACAAAGTATAAGTTTACTTTTGCTACTGGTTAGAAGAGAAATGAATTTGAAGGTGCTCTTTAATTTTTTAGTGTATATTAATTGTCCAACATAATAGGTTTCATTGTGACATTTCCATTGTACCTCTCTCAGCACCTTCCACATCCTCACTACCTCCCTACCCATCCAATCCACTCTTTCTCTTTCTTTAAAAAACAAGCAAACACATATACATACACAAACAAAAAAATGCACATAAACAACCACCCCCAAAAAAACTGAAACCATAGACAAATTATCTTGACCAATAATACAAAAAAATGTCCAAACAAAGCTAGTTGAGATTTTGAAAAGTCTACAAAAAAAATACCATTAATTTGTTTTGTATTGGCCATCTACTCCTTGTCATGGGACCTGGGAGGAGACTCATTTTTTCCCCCTTTTCAGTGGGTACCAATTGTAGACAGCTTCTCTCTCTCTCAGAGCTGGTACCCAGTCTGATCTGAACCTGTTGAGGCCCTGTGCATACTGCCAATCTCTGTGATTTCATATATGTATCCATTTTGTTGTGTCTGGAAGACTCTGTCTCCTTGGAGTCATTCACTGCCTCTGGCTCTTAACAATCTTCCCACCTCCTCTTTGCTTCCTTCTGCTCTCCATAGGCCCCTGAGCTCTGAGGACAGGACTGATGATACCATCCCATTTAAGGCCAAATGCTCCAAAGTCTCTTGTTTGTTTTGTTTGTTTGTTTGTTTGTTTGTTTGTTTGTTTTTCAAGATGAGGTTTTTCTTTGTAGCCCTTGCCATCCTGGAACTCACTCTGTAGACCAGGCTGACCTCAAACTCAGAGATCTGCCTGCCTCAGCCCCACTCCCCACCCCACCCCCAAGCCTGGGATTAAAGGCTTGTGTCACCACCGCCTGGCCCAATGTCTCCTACCTGTATACTATGCCGTTGTGGGTCCCTGTTAGTTCTCATCTACTGCAAGAAGAACCTCTGATAAGGGCTAAGTGAGATACTGATCTGAGTCCCAGACTCATTCTTTGAAGTTTTTCCTCTCTGGTATAACTTGAATGCTCTAAGTCAGATTTTTACTTTCTCCTGCTCAAAATGTGCTAGCTTGCTTCACAGGACTATAGCCAGGTCTCTCTAGTGCCCCCTTGTGCCATCTTCTAGCCAAACTACAGCTTCCTTCCCACCAGAAGTTCTTTTTGGAGTTTCAGCTTCACCTGCCAGCTGTGCTTCATCCCCAGTCCATTTCCACAGTACTGTGCCATAATTGCTTGCTGCGCTCTCTTTCCTCCATGAAGCATGTAGGTAGTACCTGAAATGTGCTCTGGTCACATAACATGTATTTGTCATTACGTGTGTGCGTGTGTATTTTATATATTTATAAATGAATTTAAAGTTTGCTATAGATGATCACTTGAATTATAAAAACTTAAATTCACAATGTTACTCAGAGCCAGGTGTAGCAGGAGCATGCTTATGACCCCAGCACTGGAGAGGCTGAGGGAAAAGAGCTCTAGTGTGCAGCAGAAGCAGCCTGTGTGTACAGCAAGACGAGCTCAAAAACATTCGTAACGAAGCCTTTATAGTTTCTTGCTTACTAAAAGGAATTTGTATGTTGTTGAATTTATAATTTGAGGGCATTCTATAAATATTACAGCCCTTGTGTTCCTGTCTTCTCTCACCTCCTCCTAACAAAGTACTTTTTAGTATTTAGTATTTTTCACATTAATGAATAGAAACTCTCTAAATTACTTTTGTCATGTTACAGATGGCCTCCTTAGCAGTTTCCAACTGGCCCAAGCCCATGCCATTGATTCCATGCCTGTCTTGGTCTACCGCATCTGGGGTCTTCACTACGGTAATTGAATTGTGCTTGAAACTTGATAACGTGTACTTAAATATAGTTATCGTGGTGGTCCCCAGAATCACCCCTAGGTGCAGTGACTGCTAGAAGGAATGACAGAACACACACACCTATATATATAGAGAGAAAATGCTTAACTTTAGCAAAAAGATAGGACAGAAAATCAACAAAAGGCACATGAGCTAAACTTAGCGTAGGCTTCCAAGGGTCCTTGCTCAGCCAAATCTCATGGCCTATGCTTAATTCCTCCACAATCACTTGTACCAGGTGGCAAAATGCTGCTCATCTTTGAGCCTCTCGGACTTAAGGGTCTCTGGCTAGATACCCCCGCCTTGAGTGTACCAGCAGTTGAGAAGGAATTTCAGACTGTACAAACCGTGTGACTACAGTGACCCACTCTATCATTTAGAGAAAGTTGCATATCAGTGTAAAAGCTGCTTATTGATCAAATTCCCAGACTCCACTTAAATATATCGGCAGGCCTCTCAAAGAATAGATTATTAACTCTCTCTTATACAGTAATTAATAAACATAAAGGTATTATGCAGACTATGTCATGATTTGATTTTACTTTATTTTAGGGTGTCTTGAGTAAATCTATTAATTGGCGAGAGCTGGAAAAGCAGTATTACACACAGACAGTTTATGAAGAAGAAATTATTCATATGCTAGAGTACTGTGGGGTAAGTTTTCTGTTTGTTTGGTTGGTTGGTTTTTGGTTTTTGGAAATAAGGATTTCTCTGTGTAATAGCCCTGACTATCCTAGAAGTCACTTTTAGACCAGATTGGCCTCCAACTCAGAGATCCACCTGCCTTCACCTTCCCAAATACCGGGATTAAAGACATGGGCCAACACACCCAGCTGGAGTATTTTAATGTTCATGTAACATTGGAGTAAAGGTTGATTACATATTTAGTTATATAAAGAAAATGGCAAATTTTTAAAGAAATACATACTTTTAAACTTAGAAATTACTCTTCTTCTAAGCATGGTGATACATGCCTGTAATCCAAACATTTGGAGGCTAAGGCAGAGAGATTGTGAAGGTGATTCTTCATTTTAGGCAGCAGAAGTACAACAAGTGTGAGGCCAGCCTGGACTATATAACAAGAAAACATTTTTCCCCTTGATTTTGTTATTAGTTTGTTTGTAAAGACAGGGTCTCTCTATGTAAGTCCAGGCTGGCCTCTGCCTTCTTAATGCCTGATTGCAAGCATTTACGACTATGCCTAATTTCAAAAATGTTTTTAATTATAAGCATAGAGGTGCACACCTTTAGTCCTATTATGAAGAGGCAGAATCGGGTGGAACTCTGGGAGTTCACAGGCAGCCTGGTCTACATACTGAGTTTCTCTTCTTTTTTCTTACTTTTTTTATCCTTTGGGGTTTTTTTTAAGGTATTTTAATCTTTATTTCTTTTTTTCTTTTTATTTTATTTTTTTATTGAGAAAAGGAAAAAAAAAAGTTTCCGCCTTCTCCCAGCCTCCCATTTCCCTCCCCCTCCCCCCACTCCTCTCCCCCTCCCCCCC